CCCACGAAGTAGGTTAGCTCCTCCCCGTTATTTCCAACAAGGAAACTACAACTGCAAAAACCAAATACTCGCAAGGGTTACAAGGCTGCTCGCAAAAGCCAGTTCTGAAGCCAGACACGTGGCATATGACAGTACTTGGGAGGCTGAGGCAGGAGACTGCAATGTGGATGCCAGCCCAGGCTATATAGGGACTTCAAGGCCAGCCTGAGCTGCACAGGGGGACCCAGTCTCAAAAAAAAAACCAAGCCAGCTCTGGTTGTGAATCTGTGCTATGCTACTCTTGCAGTGAAGGCAAACAAAGTAAAGAGCCTGTAGCGCCAGCACTCAGGAGACTAAGGCAGGAGGGTGGACATGAGTTAGAGGCCAGCCTGGGCTACATACTGAGCTTAAGGCCAGCCTGAATTACAGAGCAAGCCACGTTCTTGAAAGACAAAAAAAAGAGCAACTGAATAAAATTAAGTGGATCAAATCTCACCCAAAGCAGTCCAATAGTCCTGGCAATTTCCTATTAAAGGTGCTAGCTAGCCTCTACCAACACTGCCTGTGCACTTAGGCTCATGGACCTCATTACCGCCCTCGCTACACTGCTGATGAAGCTAAAGCAGAGTTCAAGCAACTTAAATGAGGCCACATGACTCTTATCTGCATTCTACCCACAAAACCATGATGCTCCTTTAAAATCAAATGAGATATGGGGCCGGGGATAGAGCTTAGCGGAGTAAGTGCCTGCCTGGCAAGCACAAGGTCCTAGGTTAGATTCCTGGTACTCCTCACCACCACCACTATTAAAAAAAAAAAAAAAAAAAAATTTAAAATAAATGAAAAAAAAGTGAATTTCAGGAAATATGCCTGAACACAGTAATTTTTTACTCAATCAAAATTATCCATTAAAAAAAAATCAATCACACCCGTTGAAGCCTCTACATGTACAATAATGATTATACAGCACAGAGAGAAACAAACTCCAGCAATACACACTTAGGGGATTCAAATCTAGGCTGCTCAACAAGTCCCATGGGGGTTCATTCAGCCCGTGTGCTCTGAAGGAGTCCCCAGACATGGGGCCGGGGTGCAGCGTCTCAATGAGCCTTCATGACTGCTGTGGTAGCTCTGGACCTCACACACGAGTCACAGCCAAGACCTTAAGGAAGCGGGTCTCCCAGACCAAAGCTCTTCACAAGCTGCCTTTTGCACCCTTAGCATTCGTGCACCAGGGCATTTTCACCTGCTACACACACAGAACTGCAGGATGGGAATCCTCAGCAAAAGCCACCCTTCCTCTTAGGGCACAGGGACCCAAGCAGTCTGCTTCAGCTGCCTGATCCCAGGCGACACCTCCTTTTCAGAGGGTGCTCTGCCAGTCCAACAGATCAATGTGGACAGATAAAGGCATTATGTAAAAATAACTAAATAAAAATTTTAAAATGAAGCCGGGCGTGGTGGCTCACACACAGGCACTGGGCTCACATCCCAGCACTCGGGAGGCTGAGGTGGGAGGATTGTTGGGAGCTCAAGGCCAGCCTGAACTGCATAGTGAGACCCCATCTCAAAAAAGACCAAAAAAAAATTTAAAAATGAGCCAGATGCAGGGGTGTGCACCTGTAATGCCAACTCCTCAGGAGGCTGGGGCAGGAGGATTGAAAGGTCAAGGCCAACAGAGGGAGACCCAGTCTCAAAGGACAAAACAAGTCAAACTAAAAAAATTTACATGTGTGCATAAGAAATTTCAGCCCTCCGCAAAAGGACACAGAGCATAAAGGCCATTAAGGACGTTCTGCTACATGCAGGTATCTGTGTAACCAACAAGAGAAAAAGGAAAAGATCACATGGCTTTGCTGGACTCGCACAGGGCAATCACTGTGATGGCCCTGAGGCGGGATGCAAAGCTGCACTTCAACTTGACGGGAAGGACTTCAAAACCCAGTCACACTTTCCAGCTACCACAAAACATCCCCTCAGGCTGGAAGAAGCCTTACTCTGCAATTTAGAAGGCTTCCTTCTGCCAATTTAAAAAAAAAAAAAAAACCCTTCAGTTAAGCTAGTGCTTCTACTCTGTAGAAGCCTCTCACACTGACCACCTCCTCCCAGACGTACGAAACACCAGCCAACACCACAGCAGAAGAGCACGGGGATTCCTAGGCTAAATGGCAAATCCACATTCGCTGCAAATTTGTGAGATGAGACTTTATTTATTTTTCAGGATGTGGTATTAATGATTGTCAGTAATATTTCAAAGAGGAAACTTCAAGTGATTATTATTAGCAACTTTTTTGTGTAGGACTAGAGATTAAACCCAGACCCTTCAGACTGAACTACATCCCGGCCCATTTTTATTTTTTATTAAGTCAGGGTCTCACCAATTCATTCCACTACCCAGGGGAGGCTGGAAAGTGTAATACTCTTCTCCACCTCCCAGAACGGCTGGAGGGGAAACAGTCACGGCCCCCCCCACGCCCACGGCAATTACTCTCTATCTGGCATCAAGGTCCACTGTGTTAAGTGTTTTAACAGCCTCCATCTCACCCAGTCGGCTGTGTTAAGTGTTTAACAGCCTCCATCTCACCCAGTCCTTCCGTCAACCACGAACAGATGCCACGGTCTGGTGCTGGGAAAGCAAAGTGACCACCTGGGCCAGGCGCTGTCGGGGTAGGGTTCCAGAGCCTGAAAAACCTCCAGCACCTTATCATAATGTCCACTGGGTCAAGAGTTAGCAGTTCACAAAATACTTTCTTCTGTATCTCAAAACCTCCGAGCCTCCAAACCAGACCTTCAAGCCTCCAAGCCAAACCTACACAAGCCAGTCCCCTGTGACTGAAACCGAACTGGACTAAACCTGGCTTGTTTTTCCTTTCACCCATCCCTTTAGAAACACACCGGACACCACCAAGGCAGCAGGATTCCCCAAATGTGACCCTGCTCAGGTGAGCAGCCTTAGGTATTCTGGCAAGTTCCGTTTCCTGGTTTCATTTCAGTTTCAGTTTCCGGATTTTAAAAGCACTACTGTTGAGTAATTAAAATATGGGGTCTAATCAAATGGAGTCCTAAAAACCTCTGTAAAGTGCTTGGTATGAAGGTCACTTTTACTCAGAAAAGTTCGGCTAGATTAATTCACCCTTCTCTATAATCTCCAGGTCTGTGCAGGGAGGAAACGGCTTAGGCTGTTCTAACAGCTGTGCAGTCACCCAGGGAAAACCACTCATTCCCCACTCTTCCCTCCACAGAGTTTATTTTTATTAATATGCCACCAGCAAAGCTATCATACTCTGTTCTCATTGAAACACAATAGTCACCCACAATAAAGTAACTTGAAAGCAATTACACATGAGAAAAACACACCTATCATTTTATTATTAAGCCAGAAAGATGCCCCGCTGACAGCCAACAAACGGTATCCCAGCAACAGAAAAGCAAAGAAACTAAGCAAAGATTTCTTTAGTCATGAAACTCATTCAGTCAAGAAAGATGGATTTTGTCACTTATTATCCTCTAAAATGGAAAGTGCCACATGGAGAACATAAATAGGCTACACTGCATCTAAGAGCAACGTGCTCTGTGCCAAGTTACAAAGCCTGTGAATACAAGGGGTGTATTAATGGAAAGACTGATACCATCTTACTACAGTGGCCTCTCTGTAGCACCAGACAATGATCTGTTGAGGGTTTTCCAGGGATTTTGAATATGCACCCTCCATACTAGCTGCCTGTTAAGGGGGCTGGCTCAGAGCTGAACAATTCCTCCGTGGAAAGAAAGCCAAAAACCCCCGCACTGGTTTAGGGGTGAGCAGCTTGAGCTGTAGGCGTGGGAAGACTCAGACATAGAGACAAAGGCGTGGTAGGTGGGCCGGGGAGAGCTGGATCAGCCCGGGTCCACCTGCCTGCGGGAGGACTGGACTTTCACAGAGGCCCAAGGATCGGGAGAAAGGAAAAGAAGGAAGTTTGCTCTGTTCATCTGCAAGGCAGAAGTCAGTCACCCCTGAAAGCAAACCACAAGTGAGGGTATGGACAGGAAAAAACCAGAAAGGCCAGACACAGGTCTTCCCAGGGCTGGGCTGACCTCTGACTGTTATCTAAGAGGTGAGCTTAGCAGGAGGCGCCCAACTCCCATTTTACACCCTCACCCCGCGCCCGCAAAAACAAAAAACAAAACAAAAAAAAGCTTCAGGGGTGTCAGGGGTGCGAAGAGATAGGACACGTGGGGAAAAGCCAGTCACGTGGGAATTCGCTTATTCCTTTCCTCCTTGAGGGGGAGGGACAGACTTCGTGGAAAAAAGGACCCCGCTGCCACCCATGGGAACAAGCCAAAGAAGTCCCGGGAGAACCTTAATGCGGCCGCTTCCGAGGAAAGATCCGTTCCGGGGGCTCCTGGGACCCCTACACAGACCCTTCCCACCTCCTCCGGGCCCAGCCCCTTACACTTCCTTCTGCAATCTGCGACAGCCCCTGGCCTCCCGAGCCCTCCCGGCAACTCACCCTCCCTGGACTCGCGCCCCGCCAGTCCACTTAGCCCCGCAAGGCCTACTTTCAGACTGCCCAGGGCTCGGCGCCCCTTCCCTCCGAGCCTCCCGAATCGCTGCCCAGATCTGACCCACTCAGCCACCCCAAACCCTTCCCTCCACTCGGACAGCCAGTCTCGCCGTCTCCCGATCCAATCTCGGGTCCCCCAGTTCGTTCCCTTCGCGCGTCGTCGCCTCAGCCCCAGCCCCCGAGTCCCCTAACCCCCACTTCTGGCTTCAGACTTCCCGCTTTACAGTCGCCTCGGGTCCTCGGTCTCCCCGGCCTCGCTTCAGGGGTCTCCACCGCTCTCAGGACCCCTTCTCCCGCCTGGGCCCCCAAACCCCGACTCGACTCCCCACTGTCGCACAAGACCCCGCCCCGAGCGCCCCCACTGCCCGCCGGGTCCCCTCGACACAACTGGAGCCCCACGGGTGCCTCCGCCCGGGCCACCGCTCGACGCGCTCACCGCACCGGGCCCCACAGGCGCCGCCCCGCGGCCCCGCGCACCTCCTCCATCTTCTGCACCATCTCCGTCAGCTGGCCCTCGTCCTCCAGCAGCTCGTTCAGCTGCACCAGCGACAGCCCGGCGAACCGAGCTTCGCCCGCGGCGCCCGCCATCCCCTCGTCTCGGCCGCCACCGCCGCCTGGCTCGGGCCGCCTGGCTCCGCCGACCGGAAGCACCGCCCTCGAGCCCGCCCCCCTGGGGGGGGCACGTGACGCCAGCCGCGGGGCGTGACGTCATCCCGCGCGGCGGGTGGGCGGACGTGACGTAGCGGGCAGCCTGGGCTGGCGGGCCGTGCGCGGCGATGCGTCTGGCACGCTGGGGGCTTCAGAGTACGGAAAGGTGGGGGTCTGCGGTCGCGCTCGTGACGCATAGCGCGGCTGTGACGTCACGACGGCGCGGGCGAGTCCTCTGTGATGTCACAAGGGCCTTTTTCTGCGAGGAAAAGAATCATTAATCTATAAAGAACACTGGCAATGGGAAGAAGTCACCGCACCCTGTGTCAGCCCTCACCCAGGGAACCCGAAAGAAGGGGACCTTTTTTTCTTTTATCGGTACCCGGGATCGAACTCACGACTGCCTGCTTGCAAGGCAGGCACTTATGCCACTGAGCTAAATCCCCAGCCCAAAAGAAGGGGACCTAATGGAGAAAGAATTCCAAGTGGCATTGGGCTCCAGCCAGGTCATTCATTTAACAAATATTTAAAATCGATATGTCCTAGGCATTGGGTTAATGGTTTTGTACAAAACAAAAAGGACCCCAGCCTGGGTGGAGCTAATAGGCTGGCACCCGAACAAACAAATGCAAGAAATGAAAATATTGGTTACACATTGGAGAACTCTGAAGGAAATAGATGCTGAACTGAGACGAGGAAGTCCTTCTTTAGAAGGAGTCCCAGCGAGAGAAGCCCGCTCAGAGAATAAGGTGTCTAAGGCGTGTGGATGAATTGAAAAGGAAGAAACCGGGGGCTGGAGGTTTAGCTCAGCGGCATAAGCGCCTGCCTTGCAAGCAGGCAGTCGTGAGTTCAATCCCCGGTACCAATAAAAAGGAAAAAGACAAAAAAAAAAAAGAAAGAAAGAAAAGAAAAGGAAGGAACCAGCCACCGTTCTTGGAGGAAGTTCTTGGCAGCAAGTCCCAGCATGTGCAAAGACCCTGAGGCAGGACTAGGTTGGTGCAACTGAGGAAGACTAGAAAGCCAGTGAGACTGGAGTGCCAGAAGCCAGGGGAGCCCTGCTGTGTTAGAGGACAGGCTGCCCCACCTCCCTGGCTATCTAGAAGCCTCTGGAAATCCAGGAATCTAGGAACTTACTCTGCTTTGGATCTGCCATGGTTCAAAGGCCAAGGCTGAGCACTACAACCCCCTCATTTTACCCCTAGGGAGACTGAGGCCCTGGGAGGAGAGAGTATTTTTTCTCCCAAGTCACAACTTGGCGAGGCTTCCAGCTCCTGGCCTCGGAACTGCTGCACTGGCATGGCCACACTGATATCATCGCGTAATAAGCTCTGAACACAGTCGAGGCATTCAGAGAACACTTGTTGACTGACGGATGGGCTTTGTGTGTGCCCTGATTGCATTCCCTGGACATAAGGTCTGGGATCTGTCTGCCCGTATGTGCAGCTGGACTCTGCTGACCCTCCCTCCGTCCAGCTCCTTGGACTGAGGATGTGCAATTGCAGAAAAAGGAAAGTTAAGAAGTGTTTCATGGTATCTGTAAGCATAAAGTTTCCAAAGGACATTCATTTTCTTCTTCTTCTTTTTTTTTTTTAACCCTTGCTTGAGACAGAGTCTCAATATGTAGCCCAGGCTGGCCTCAGACTCACAGAATTCTTGCCTCCGAGTCCTGAGTGCTGGGATTACAAGCATGCACTGCCATGTCCAGCTCTGCTTCCTTTTAATGTATCCTAGTTGGTCACGAAAGATGACCCGAGGAGAAAAGGTCACAATAAATAGGGAAGGGGATGGAGGAAGTTGTGTTTATTATTGGGGTAGTGGTGGTTTTTGATCTTCTCTTCAGGAAAAGCATAGACTGCCAGATTGAGAATCATAGCCGTGTTTCCAGGAAACCCCAACCTCTGTGGTGTGAGATGTCCGGAAATCGTTCACAGTCTGGCGCCAGGTGTGGTGGCACACACCTGTAATCCCAGCACTCGGGAGGCTGAGGCAGGAGGTCCTTGTGAGTTCCAGGCCACCTGGGCTACAAAGTGAGCTCAATACCAGTACAAACTACATAATAAGATGCTGCCTCAAAAAAATCACAAAAGGGGCTGGGGCTTTAGCTCAGCGGCATAAGTACCTGCCTTACAAGCAGGCAGTCGTGAGTTCGATCCCCGGTACCAATAAAAAGGAAAAAGACCAAAAAAAAAAAAATCACAAAAGAAGGAGGAGGAGGAGGAGGTCTGGGCTCAGAGCCTTCAGAGGAAGGCAGTGATCTGCCCAAGGACAGACAGAGAAGTGCTTGATTTCTGAGCGCCGTGCCTGTCCCCGTTACCTGTCCCACCGAATTGACCCAGGTTCAGATCCCAGCCTCACCCCATCCTTTGGCGTCTTTTCCAGCCTTTTTCTGCTGCTGCCGTATTCCAGGCACACAGCACCGCTTCCTCTGTCAAACAGAGCAACCCACACACACAGCGTCTTGCTTTCCGCTGCTCTTACCCTGGCAAGGTGCTGAGAGAAGAAAAGGAAACCAGTGCCAAACCCCTTGTGCTGCTGTCAGACTTGCCGGAGGAATTCCTGGCTGGGCCGGTCACCGCTTCTTGGAGGGGCACCTACACCTTGGCCGCACCTACATCCCCCCTAAGATTTGTGGGTTCGAGAGGATATTCACTGATGGATCAAGGACAGGGCATGTATGTGCCACGCGGGACTTTGCTGTCAATGGGGACATTGTTTACTCCCTGAGCAGGGACTCTCCTGTTACACAATATCAGGAACTGCTCAGAAAGAACACTCAGAAAACAAGGAAGAACCTTCACACAGCTGAACCTTCAGAGCCTGCAGTGGAGGACTGGAATCCTTCCCCTCCCGTGGACGTGGGTAGAATCATTTCCCAGGCTGAGGAACTGGGAGAGCCGTGTGGACAGGGTGGGAAGCTGTCCACAGTGCACCCTGATCCTGGGTGGGGTCGCATCAGGTGGGCAGCCACGCCCTGCCTGACGTCACCGTCATGGTCATGTCATGACAGTCACCTACATGCCCCAGATGATCTGCAAGCTACTCACCCGGAAGGAAAAAAAAATGGGCAGAGGCTGTACAGAGGTGAGTTACTTTGTTTAGGGACTGATTTTTGCAAGTTCAGCGAAATGAGGTAGTTCAGGCATACAAAAGAGGGGCTGTGAGACTTGCGTACCCCACAGGTTAAGGGATAAAATCACGGCAGAAGTCGAAACCCACACCCTCCACCCCATTGCCTTCCTCCTTCCCCTGAGGTAGCTGCTGTCCTGTTCATTAGCTTCCGCTGTACGGATCTATCCATCAGGTTTATAAGAACAAGACTGCACATGTGTTCTGCCATTTGCCTTTTTAAAAATCAGTGTTGGTTTTTGTTTTGTTTTTGAGACAGAGTCCTACTATGTAGTCCAGGCTGGCCTTGAACTCAATGTGGAGCCCAGCCTGGCCTCAGACCTGCAGGAATCCTCCTGCTTCCGCCTTCTGAATGCTGGAATTACAGGTGGGTTCCCCTGTACCTGGCACCAGTGTTTCTGAGATACAGGCCTGCTGAGGTACCTGGTTTAGAATGGATTTTTTATACCCACGTGGTTGCACAATTATGTTTATTTTTTCATTTTGCAGTACTGGGGAGTGAACCCACGGCCTTCATTGAGCTGTGTCCCCTGCCCTTATTTATTATTTATTTATTTTTGGTGCTTGGAATCAAACTCAGGACCTGCGCTTGCCAGGCAGGTGCTTCTGTCACTAAGCTATATCCCCAGCCCTTTGCCCTTTTTTATTTTGAGACAGTGTCTTGCTGAGTCACTAAGTTGTCTATGCTGGGCTCAACCTTGTGATCTTCCTGCCTCAGCCTCCCATATACCTTGTACTACAGGCACACGCCACCATGCCTGACTGCATGTGTACACCTATATGTGTGCGCATAGATGTATGTAGACGTGTGATAGCACACGGTTGTCACCTTCATTCCATTGGATGTGTATGGTAATAATTATTAACTCATTTTCCTGCTGATGGAGTCACGGGGCGTTTATGTTTCCAGCCTTATTTTTCATGGCCAAATTGCTTTCCAGAACAGTTGTACTAATTATCATTGATGTGATAAAGTATACTTAAAACTCACCATTATTTTAATCATTGTTAAGTGTATAGTTTAGCGGCACTCACGACATTGGCATGGTTGTACAACCATCACCATCATCCCTCAGGTGTGGTGACACATATCTGTCATCCCAGCACTAAGGAGGCTGAGGCAGGAGGATCACCGTGAGTTCAAGGCCAGCCTGAGCTACATAGCAAGGCCCTGTCTCAAAAAACAAACAAAAAGCAAAACTGAACTCCTCAAACCTAAATGTATACACTGAGCAAACCCATAAGAGCTAAAATGATAATATGCCATGAAACAGAGTATTTCTGCTTTTTCACTACCTGATTTTTCTTTTTGCTTTTTGCTTTTCAGGGAGAGGCCTGTGCCGAGGCCATTGCCTGCACTAGGTACCCCCTCCACTGGCTGCACCCCAGCCCCTGGACTTACCTGAAACTTTCCTCCACATCACTGAATGTTTACTCTTCTCACTAATGACTAAGAAAGAAAGGGTCCTGGTTCTTATTTTCTGTGGTTCTCACATCCATTTTGCACCAGCATTTCAAATAAAAAAGAAGAAAGCTATTTTTATTATTGGTGATATCCTATTCCACAGGGAGACAGCTTCACAAATAATTAACTTTTGCCTCCCTTCAGAGCAGTGTCTCCTGTGATCCCAGCACTCTGGAGGCTGAAGCAGAAAGATCACCAAGAATTCCAAGCCAGCCTGGGCTACACAGTGAGTTCAAGGCCAGCCGGCACTGCATAGCAAGACCTTGTCTCAAAAAGACACACATTAGAAAAAAGTGGCCCTGCAGTATTCTTTGGTTATTTTGCGTTAACATCATAGATAACACAGAGGCAATGAAAATTCTGTTCTATGCATATAGACTATGGGCAGGGGTGCACCCTGAAATCCCAGCACTCAGGAGGCTGAGGCAAGTGGAGCGTTGCAAGTTTGAGACCTGCTTGCTCGGGCTGCAAAGTGAGCCCAAGCCAGCCTGAACCCCATAGCAAGACCCTGTCTTAAAGAGCCACGCACAAAAAAATTAAATTAAGATCGCTAACAACTCCGACAGCATGGAGAAACCCTCTGGGGCAGGCAGTGGTGATAAGTGGTTTCTAGAGCCACAGTTTCCAGGTGTGGGGGCTGCAGACTCTCGAGGGAGAAACCAGAAACTGAAACGCTCTCGAGGTGATATTTTTTTTAAAAAAACTTCATAGATTTTTTTTTTTAGTTGTGAAAGTAATTTGCATGTTTCATTTCTTAACTGGGTGATATATTATTCTCAATCCCTTTTTGCAGATGTGAAATATTTCATGGTAAAATGCGTGTATTAACCCACAAGGACTTAAAGGTATTTTTATTTGCTCTGAACGCTGTGCCAGGGAAGTGACCGAGTAGCCCAGCCTTGGGCGGGCAGGGCCACAGGTCGGGTCCCTAATGCTGCAAAAAACCCATGTTGGAATGGCAGAGATGAACTCTAAAACTTTAACAACAAATTCTACAGATCGCAGATCCCAGAGTTAGCCCTAGTGAAGAGTGTTTGTGCTACTCGTTGTAGAACTTCCTTCTCTTCGGTTTTTTGAGACAGGTTGGTGCTGTGTGGCCAGGGCTGCCCCTGAATTCACAGCAATCCTCCTGCCTCAGCCTCCCAGAGTGCTGGGATTACAGGCACCCTGCCCAGCCGGAGGCGGGATCCTCACTGCACTGCAGTTGTCACATCAGGGCGTTGGCCGTACCACCTTGCTTCCCCCTCCTGTATAGTCCCCCACTATCCCAGCAGGGCATTTCGGCCTCCCGTGTCCACACAGTGAGTGTGCGGTGATGACCACACCTGTCTACACGGCTGTGGGCCCCCTGCACACGTGCCCTGGACTGATTGCCCACAAACCGACCCACAGCTGCAGAGTCCGGCCCACTGGTCCACTTTGCCTGCTGGCAGCGTCTTGGAATAGTGGACCCCTTTGCCACTGTTAGCTAAACGGCGCGGCCCACCCCTGATGGGGGTCTCCAGGCTTCTTTCCGTCGGGCCCAGCACCCACCAGGGCCCCACATCACGCCCTGCCCCGTCTCCCAGGCTCCTGTTGGCCTCGGGTTGCCCAGGCTGGCCTTGTTTTCGGGAGGGCAGATCCGGTGCTTGGCTGGTGTGCGTGTCACAAGGTTAGAACGCTGTCACGTGGTACAAGGGGACTTCCTTCACAGCATGAGCCAGCACTGTTGCAGATGACCTTGGCTGCCTGCTAAGGTCATGCTGGTCAGTGCTCACCACTGTGGATTTGCTTCTTTGTTCCCCCTGGCTTCAGAAGAAAGGCATCGTGGGTAGTCTGCACTTGAGGGGTAGGGATTTATGCTCCCCTCCCCTTCTTTATGTTTGTTTCTTGATTTCCTTCTTTCCTTCCTTCCTTCCTTCCCTTTTTTCCTTTCTTCTTTCTCTTTTTTTCTTTCTTTCTTTTTTTTTTTTTTGTCTTTTTGAGACAGGGTCTTGCTATGCAGTTGAGGCTGGCCTTGAGCTCACTTTGTAGCCCAGGCTGGTCTCGAACTCACAACGATCCTCCTGCCTCAGCCTCCTAAATGCTGGGATTACAGGTGTGCACCACCAGGCCTGGCCTCTTTTTTCTTAACAATCTCCATATGTAGTCCAAGTTGATCTTACAACTCACTATGTAGCCCAGGCTGGCCTTAAACTCACTGTGCGTTATAGGCATGCACCACCATGTACAGCTATTTTTTAATTTTCAAAAGATACAAAGTGGCTAGGGTGGAACTTACTGATTGAGTTACACGACTAGCACTCTCAAGGCCCTGAGGTAAAATAAGAAACAGCCTACTTGTGAGGCTGAGGCAGGAGAATTACTTTTATCCAGGAAGCCATCCTGGACAACGTAGCTAGCCGCTATTTCAGGAAGCAGACACAAAAACAAAAACCTGCTGGCACAGTGGCACACCCCTGTAATCTGAGCACTTTGGGAGGCTGAGGCAGGAGGCAGACAAGTTTGAATCCAGCCTGGGCAATTTAGTAACCTAACAAGAACTTGTTTTAACATGTTTAAATCGGGTGTGGTGGTGCCCACCTGTAACCCCAGCCCTCTGGAGGCTGAGGCAGGAGGATCATTACAAGTTTGAGGTCAGCCTGGGCTGCAAAGTGAACTCAAGGCCAGCCTGACCTGCACAGTGAGACCCTGTCCCAAATTAATTAAAATTTGGGAAGGGCTGGGAAGGTAGCTGAGCACGAAGATCCCTAGTACCACAAGGCAAATACCCACCCACGGCTCCGGCATCCCACCTTTCCTTCCATGACTTTTCCCCATGCCTGTTCGAGCCCTGAGCGCAGGCCACTCCGCACAGCCCCGTCTTTTAAAGCAAGAAAGGTCAGACGCCATGTGCGTGGCCGGCTGCGTCACTCAGAGCCTCATGGTGAGGACAGACCCACAGGACTGCAGATGCCCGCAGACACTGAAAACTCATCAAACACACAGCGCCCCTCTATCAGCACTGATCAGAGTCTGGAGGGTTCGGGGGTTTTTCCTCCTCCTTTTAATTTCATGCCAGTTTTTTCAAGTGGAGACCAGGCTCAGCAGAAGGTGTTAATTCGGGCACTAAATCTGGATCCTCCTGATGCTGTGAAATGTCACCAGCGCCCTGACGTCACCTCACACTTCCTCCTCGCGGATCCAGAGCCCAGCCCCGCCCTTAGAACTCTTTCTTCAGGGGTGCCCTCACCCCATTCGTCCCAAGCCTGCTTCCTCCTCCCCGTCCAATGGCTTGGTAATATGCTTCCTGTGCAGCTGGGCATTGTGAAAGTATTAGTAAAAACCCAGAGCCAGGCATGGTGGCACACGCCTGTGATCCCAGCACTCCAGGAGGCTGAGGCAGGGGATTGCAAATTGGAGCCCAGCCTAGGCAGTTAACGATTTATGAAAACCCTGTCTCAGAGTGAATAAGCTAAAAAGGTCTGGGGAATGGTAGCTCAGTGTGAAGGCTCTGGCTTCCATCCTCAGTATTGAAACCAAACAAAAAGCTAGAGCTGGGCCTGGTGGCTTCTGAAATCCAGCCCTTGGGAGATCAAGCCAGAAGGGTCGCTGTGAGTTCGAGGCCACCCTGGCTACACAGCAAGACCTTGGCTCAGAAAAACCAAAACAAACACAAAAACCCACAGAAAAGTAACAAAAAGCTAGAGACTCGGGAGAAGCGGGCAGATTTGGGGTTAGTCAGATAAAGCAGCCCTCCTTGAAAATAAGAGTGAAAGGCTGGCACTGTGGCTCCTGCCGGGAATCCCAGCTGCTGGGGAGCTGAAGCAGGAGGGTCATAAATTGAAGTCCAGTCTCAGTAAATTTTTTGAGACATTGCCTAAAAATAAAAGTGTAGGGCTGGTGATATAGCACAGCGGCATATGCACCTGCCTGGCAGGCTTGAGGTCCTGAGTTCGATTCCCTGTACCAAAAAAATTTTGAAGAATCAATGGAAGTCTTAGTGTAGTCTGGGTGTAGCTCAGTGGCACAGTGCTTGGCCAGCAGGTACCATGCCCGATTCAACCTCCTGTGCAGCTAATAAGAACCTCTGGACGTACATTAGGCTACAGCATTCTCAGGAGCACGCAGAGATTCTGCCTTTTCATTATTAGGGGATGTATTTTCTCAGGGGTCCTGTGACAGGAGCTCCAGGTAAAACCTCCCTCTTCCAGAAATCCCAACCTGGGGCTGGGGGTTTAGCTGAGCGGCAAAAGCGCCTGCCTTGCAGGTGTGTGGTCGTGAGTTCTATCCCTGGTACCGATAAGAAAGAAAAAGACAAAAAAAAAAAAGAAACCCCAACCTATGATCACATGTGCGGTGGACAGTTGCAGAACAAGGGGTGCCCAGGGCAAGCCAGGCTGCTTCAGCCCAGAAAAACACCCAGCCCCAAGCAACTGGACAATCCAAGCAACCGGATTGCTAGGCAAAGGGTACCACGTGACAGTGTGCTGCTAAATGCATAAATAAACGCGCCTGCGGGGAGGGGCAGCTCCTTCCTCCTGTCTGCAGAATGAGGGCTCCGCCTGACTCATCCTCTCCCTGTCTTTCACCTCAGAAACCTCAAGAGCCGTGTGGGTCGTGGCACCCCTGTCCTGTCATTTATTCATCCTTGCATAACATTTGATTGAACAACTCCTATAAACTGGGCGTGGTTCTGTACAGCAACAACACAGCAGTGCACAAAACAGGTGAGGCCTTTGTCCTGAATGGTTACATCCATGGAAGAGAACAGTATAACCAAGGAGACCAGGAGGGTAATAAGCCAGGCAGAGGAGGGGCAGGAAGCGGGAGCCCCGGCTCTGGCCGTGTGTGTGTGTGTGTGTGTGTGTGTGTGTGTGTGTGTGTGTGTCCTGTCACTCCCTTTGTAGTCTGTCTGACTTCGCGTTGGGAAGTGGTCTAAAGCCTCTCTCCAGGGTGTGACCAACTCAGCCAGTTCCCTGTGAACTGGTGGCAGGGAACCCAGACACCCGCTGTGTAGAGGACTGAGCGGGAGTCGCCCATGAGGCGGGCTCAGGGAGAGATGCCCACTGCGGAACCGGCCGCGGGAGGGTTCTTTGTCATTTTTCTGGTTGTGGGGCTGAAGCCAGGGCCTTGAACACTGCTAAGCCAGTGCCCTGCCACTGAGCCACATCCCGCATGCTATTCACAGAGTCTTGCTAAGTTGTCTGGTTGGCTTCAGAACTGGCCATCCGCCTGCCTCAGCCCCATGAGTGCCAGGATTACAGGGGTGCTTCCTAAACTGCAAATGTTTTTGGACCCGGGAGAGCCGGGCTGGGGCTGCCACACAGAGGCAGGGCGGCCACCCCATGAGCACCATCAGGTTGGAGCCTCAGTCCTGGGGGCAGAACAAGGCGAAGCCGGGGAGGCGCTGGGAGGTCAGGGCTGCAGCCCAGCTGGCCAGTCGCGGCTGAGCAGCTGCCCCCGCACTCCGTCTGCTTTGAACGCCAGATGAGCAGGAGGGTGGGTGCCCGCTGCCAGCAGTCTCTGTAGCCTCCCCCTCGTGGTCTGTCCCCTGGCGGCCTGTTTGTCCATTTTCTGTGGCCGTCTCCTCTTACGCCCCCCACTCTCTCTGCTGCTGCTGTTCCAGGGTCTCGCTGTTGTTTTAGGCTGGCCTTGATCTTGGGATGATCCTCCTGCCTCGGGCTCCTGGGTGCTGAGATCACCAGCTCGGGCCACCCTGTCCTGCTTTCCAGCGGCAGAGGTGAAATCCAACATGGGATGCTTTGGGGACACCTTCAAGCTATGTCCAGCCGGGTGACTGTGTCTTCAACTGTGCACAGGCCACTGCCTGTGCAGACCGTTTCCAGGGACCTGTGACCCTGGCCCGGTGACTGTCACCAGAGGGCTCTGTGCACTCCGGCATTGCTTGTGGCTCAGGTCCCGGTGCCTGGTGGGCATGGGTGGGCTGCAGGACAGTCCTCTGGACTTGTGCAGCAGGAAGACCGATTCTTCTCCCGTGCCCTGGGGCAGGGTGACTGATGTCCCCAGGAGTCCACAGATAAGTGTCTCCGAGCCCCCTGCACATAAGGGCACCAGGCCACCACTGTTCTCCCTGCAGGGCCGCTGCCCTGGGGTCTGAGTTCTTCTTGGGATAGGAGGAAATGCCCTTGGGTAACCTGGCGTAGTGGTGCGTGCCTGTAATCACAGTGCTTGAGAGGCTGAGTAGGAGGATTGTAAATCTGAGTCCAGCCTGGGCAATTTAGTGAGACATTTTCTCAAAAAAAAAAAGAAAAGAAAAGAAAAAAGGAGGGGGTGTAGCTCAGTGCAGAGCCCCGGGTCCAGTTCCCAGTATAAAAGACATAAGGAGGCCAGTGGCCTTGGTGACCCGTCCTGTCTCGGGTTCAGGTTTTCCCCTGGACTCCCAGAGAGCAGCTGAGAGGACGGAGGAGCCGACGTGGGGCAGCTGGGCAGTGTGGCCGGAAGGGCTCTGGGCAGGGACAGTGGGGATCCCAGAGTTCCAGAGGCTGAGGCAGGAGGATCGCTGCGAGTTTGAGACCAGCTTGGGCTACTAGTGAAACCTTATGCCAAAAGACAAAGAACCAATGGAAATTCACACCGAAGTCCTGCACTTTGACACTGTGGAGCAAAGGGCACCTGGACTCCTCCCAAGCCCATTGCCCCCACTCAGGGCAAACCAGCGCGGACAGCCTTAGTCACACCCAAACAGCAACAGGGATGGTAGAAACAGCCAAGGGACATCTGAGGTGACCTGATGACCAAGGGCCACGTGCCATGCTGATGGCTCCCAAAAGACACCAAGAGCCAGTTGGTGGTCCGTGACGGGCCGTGCTGCAATCCAAGCACTCCAGGAGGCTGAGGCAGGAGACTGCAGGTTAAGGCCAGTCTGGGCAGCTTAGTGACTTAGCAGGATGCAGCTCAGTAGACCCCGGGTCAGCCCCAGAGCACACGCCTCGTGCCCTAGGGGAATCTAAGGCAGCCTGTTTAAATGGGACAAACATAAAATCCCGGACTGAGGGGCTGGGACAAAAGCTACATGGCAGAGCACTGGCCTAGTGTGTACCAGGCCCGGGGTTGATTTCCAGCACTTCAAAAACCAAACAAACAAAAAACAAACTAGAAGACATGGATGTGGATGCTCTCCGTACTATCTTCTTAACTTTCCTGTAAATTTAAAAGTTTTCTGACATAGAAAGTGTAAATTCTATAAAGCAGTGGTAACATCTGTAATCTCAGCACTCGGGAGGCTGAGGCAGGAGGGTGGCCATGAGCTCGAGGCCAGCCTTAGCCACACAGTGAGACCTTGTCTCAAAAAGCAAAAAACAAAACAAAACAAAACAAAACAAAAAAAGTGGGGGAGGAGAGGGGAGAGCGAGAGGAAGAAGAGAAAAATAAAAATTTATGTTTTCAGTTCTGAGACAGGATCTTGCTGAGAAGCCCCCTGGCCTGGAGCCTGCACCCTCCTGCTTCCCCCTCCCAGGCAGCCTGTGGCTGCCAGCACCGCACTGCACCTTAGCTCACGATACCCCAGCCTGGCCCAGGGCCCTATGGAGGATGGGTTATGGTGCAGAGCGCGGCCTGAGGGCGAGGCCCAGCATGGAGCTGAGTGAGGCACAGGATGGGGAAATCCACCAACCTGGGCCAGCTCTCCTGCCAGGAGAACCCGGGGCCTGAGGAAACGCAAGAGCCAGATCAGACGCCAGGGTTCTTTTCCTTTTTCTCTTTCGGGTTTTTTGAGACAAGCTCTCCTTATGCAGTGCAGACTGCCCTCGACCCACTGGGACCCTCCTGCCTCAGCCTCCCGAGTGCTGGGATTTCAGGCAGCATCACCACACCCCACTGATGGAGTCAGGATCCTGGGGTTTGAACACATGGTGCCTCAGGTGCACTTGGGTGGGAGAAGAGCTCCAGAGGCTCCTTGGGCCCTTGGTGCAGGTGGCACAGAGAGCTGCTGTCTCACCATTGAGGACAGGGGATTGTGCATGGGCCAGAGCTAGAGCGCCCGCTACACAGTGGTGGGAGACACCTGTGATCCCAACACTTGGGAAGCTGAGACAGGAGGATCCCCGGAGTTCAAGGCCAGCCTTCACCCCACCCCACCCCGGAAAAGAGAAGCTTCCAAGTGCTGGCACCGCCTGGTGAGAAATCAAGGAGGCTGCCTGGAGGTGGAGGCACCGCTAGGTGTGCCGTCCGGAGAACCAGCCGCCTCCTGTCCCAGAAAGACACGTCCTCCAGTGAGACTTCCACTTGGGAAAAGGTTTCTGTCTCCAGGCCGTGGTCCAGAGGTGCCAGCAGTTGTGGGTTGGTTGGTGCTGAGCAGAATCCTGGCTTCACCTGTGGCCTGGCTGAGGGTTGCCTTTCGGAGAGAATCTGTGCCCTAGCTTCTCCCTGCCGTCCCCACTCACAGCTTCCTCAGTCACAAGTGAATGCAGGACCCCAGGGCCCTGCTTCGGAACTCGGGATGGCAGTGGGGCATGGCCAGGCCTGGCCCAGGCAGATGCCACCAGGACGTCCTGCGGTCACTTAGGTCAGAAGCCGTCACCTCCCTGCGCAGCTCCGACCCCCGTCCTGTCCCCTTCTCCCTGCCCTCCTGGCTGGAGGTGGTCGGGCGTGGCCTTGGCAGGATCCATCTTCTCTTTACAAAAGCTCTCTCCCTTGCCACTTCCCTTCGCTTCTGTCCCCCACCCCAATCCTGGCACCAGGCCCTGAGGCTTCCTCCACACACTGCACCCCGAGGGCCTCTCTAAGTCAGCAAGTCACGGGCTGTGATTTACAACCTCCTGCCTCAGCCTCCCAAAATGCCAGGGTTAAAGGTATACAACCTTTGTCAACCTGCCATCCCAGCACTTGGGAGGTTGAGGCAGGAGGATCACTGTGAGTTTGAGGCCAGCCTTGGCTATAAAGTGAGTTCAAAACCAACCTGAAGTCCAGCGTGCGACCCTGCCTCGAAAAGACAAAACAGTGCCGGGGACTTAGCTCAGTGGTGCAAGCGCCTGCCTGGTGAGTGTGAGTTTGTGAGTTGGGTCTCTAGTACCAAAAAAAAAAAAAAGACAAAACAAACAAACATGACAGTACCAGTGATCCCAGCTCTTGTGAGGCTGAGGCAGAAGGGTCGCCCTGAGTTCGAGGCAAGCCTGGGTTACATAGTGAGATCCTAGCTCAAAAACCCATGATTTAAAAACATTGCAAAATGCATACCCGCCTATTTTAAAGCTTACAAAGCCATCGAGATTGAGCATGCTCCCAGCCTGGTGTAACCATAGGGCTTTCTAGTTTCCAGACCTTTCTACCACCCTGTGAGCAGTGACCCCCTGCCCACCCCAGCCTGGTAGCCTCTGATCTGCTTCCTGGCTCTCCAGCTTTGCCTACTCTGAGTAGATCCTGGAAAATAAATCCTACAAGCTGGGTGTGCAGGTTCAGGCCTATAACCTCAGCTACTCAAGGAGACTGAGGCAGGAGGATCACCACACCACAAGTTTGGCCTGGGCAAACTTGACGTTTGGCCTGGGCAGTTTAGTGAGAGTCTGAGTCAGACGCTAAGGCACTGCCCGCCACACACAGCGCTGGTGCAGGCCTTTGAGGCCTGGGTCCTACCCAGAGGAGCCGAGTGGCAGTGTCAGCAGTGACGTGCAAAGCCTCTCATCTGCATGTCAAGGTGTGTCCCTGGGCGAGGACAGGTGGCTCGGCGCACCCCCATCTGTAACCGTGCAGCCTCCCTGGTGGCCCCACCTCTGACTCTGACGAGGAACTGTCACCAACTGTCTTGTACACGAAGGCTTCCGGTCTTTGGGGCTGTGTCCAGGAGCAGAGTCAGCAGGCCGTCTTGTCCCTCTCTATTCTGTTTGGTCGCTGAGTTCAGAGCCCAGGGCCTCGGGCTTGCTAAGGGTTGCTCCGCCACACAGCCACACAGCCACACCTCCACCCTCATCGCTACTCTTTGGTTAGTTTTGGCAGAGACTGGTCTCAAACTCAGCGATCCTCCTGCCTCAGCCTCCCCAGGCCTGGGATTCCAGGTGTAGCTCACCACACCCAGCCCCACTCTGAGGAACCATCAAACCTGTGACATTCTGTCTCTCGATCCCCCAAGGCTGTCTCCTCTCCTGCTTCAGGTGTTGGCTCATGTCCACCACGGCCCCTCCCAAGCCACTGGGGTTCACCTTCTCCTCTTTCCGCCCTTCTGGCCACTGGGATGGAGGTGACCTCGGCCTCCACGGCTGCCACTGTGACCCACAGCCCAGCCCTGGGCTTGGTATGCGGCAGGCACTCAGGAAATGCAGGCTGATGATCCAGGCTGTCAGCAGTCGGGAGCCACAACAATGGAGGCCTCCTTACCGCCACCTGAGGTGGCTGCTGGCAGTCAGCCGCCTGTGACTCGGCTGGGACTGACTTCCTGCTGGCTCAGGCAGGGACAAGCCCTCCACAGAGAAACCCACCTGGGCGGCACTCGATCCTTCCTGCAGGTGACTCAGAACAGTCAGCCCCGCAGTCCCAGCTCCTCGGCCCTAGACGGCCAGCGGGCGCCTGGGCAAGGCTTGGTGCACTGCAGACCGGGGCAAAGGATGGGGCTTTCGGGCCAGGCATCCTGGCTGTGTGACCCTTCTCGACTGCCATACTGGATGTGGTGGCCCAGGCCTGTAATCCCAGCCCTTGGGAGGCTGAGGCAGGAGGATCCCATGAGGATCCCATGAGTTTGAAGCCAGCCTGGACTCCATAGCCAGACTGTCTGCAAAAACCAAAACCCCCAACAAGCAAACAAAACTAGTAGGTGTCGGGCGGCCATGCGCAATGCACTCATCGAGGTCAGGCTGCTGCTGTGCAGGGGGTGGTACTTGAGTAGCGGGCTGGGGTATCGTTAGTGATGGTGCAGCCTGGTGCTGGCAGCCACAGGCTACCCGGGGGCTGAAGCAGGAGGGTGCAGGTTCCAGGCCAGCGGGGCTTCTCAGCAAGATCCTGTTGCAGGATTGAAAACATAAAGCAATAAATGGGGCTGCTGATGAGAAGGTACTGGGTCCAATCCCTAGTGCTCCTCAGGAGGGTAAGATAGGAGGGTTAAAACGTTAACTTGACGTTTGTATTTTACCATCATTTCTATTTTTATTCCTTATCTTTTTGAGACAGGGTCTCCCTATGCAGTTCAGGCTGACTTTGAACTCACTTTGTAGCCCAGGCTGGTCTCAAGACTTAAGGATCCTCCTGCCTCAGCCTCCCAAGGGCTGGGATCACAGGCGTGTGCCACCACACCCGGCTCCAGTTTATAAATGTTGAAAAGTAGACATAAACCATTAATTTCCTTTGGGGGGGGGCCTCAGGAGCAGGAAGTTAAATACTTCTTCTGTGTTTATTTGAAATCACAACAACTTTCCTACCTGGTGAGGGCCAGTGAGAAAAGACCTCAGCTATGCTGGCTGCCGGAGTCCTGTCCAGAATGTTCTAAAAAGCCAGACCCCGGAGAAAGGCAGGGTCGCCTGACAGCTGTTCCTACAGAAGGAGGAAGAGGTGGCAGTGCCCATGGTGGCCATGGTAGCTTCCTCGCTGGGCACCCTGGCTCCCCGCAGGCCCCTCAGCCGCTTCTGTTCCCAGGTGTGGAGCTGGGCCCAGAGGCCTCATCTGTCGTAGGAGTTGGTTCCCACCCCTCCCCAAGGACAATGTGACCTCCAAAAGCCACACAACAAACACAGGAACCTGCAACCCAGGACTGGCCCTTGTTAGTATTTGCTTGGACTCTTTTTTGTTTCGTTTTGTGTTTTGAGACAGGGTCTCACTGTGGAGCCCAGGCTGGCCTCAAACTCATGGAGATTCTCCTGCCTCAGCCTCCCAAGTGCTGGGATCACAGGTGTGCGCCACCACGCCTGGCTGCACTTTTTAAAAAAACCAAACTGACAGCCACACAAGTCTGTGAATGTAAAGCGGGTCATGCAGACGTCCCTGGGCTCAATCTTCCACGGCAGCATTTTTCAAGCTGCCCAAGGCAGTCGCAGGCTGTGAAATCAATGTTTTTCTTAAATGACGCAGAGTAACGTCATAAATATGTTAATATTCTTTCATGAAGCTTTTTTGTTGAGGGTCTGTGTGTGCTTGGTACTTGGTAAAGGAGGTAAATCTTTACCTTATTTTACAAAAGAATGCAGGGAAAACAAGTTCAAAGCAAATGCCTCTCCCAGGCCAGGGATGGTGGCCCACTTGCAGTAAGCCTAGCTACTTAGGAGGCTGAGGCAGGAGGGGCCTGCGTGTGACTTCAGCCTGGGTGACTTACCGAGTCTGCTCCAAGGCTGCAGTCCCTGGCCTCCTCTCCACCCATCTCCTTTCCACTCTTTTCTCTTCTGTCCCCTGGCCGACCCTGCATTACACGAAGATGGGGTTCAAGGCAATTTTCCCTGTTTGCTAACGTGGTGCCTAGGATACAGGAAGGGTCTGGATTCACTGTAACATGAAAAAAGTCAGCTTTCAAAGTCCTCTCTGTCTCACCCCGGCATAGCTACCATCGCCTCTAACCACAGCACTGTGGTAGGCTGAGGCAGGAGGAGTCCAAATTCAAGCCCAGCCTGGATAACTCCACTTAGTGAGACCTTGTCTCAGTTTGTCTTTTTTTTTTTTTTTTTTTTGTCTTTTTCGTTTTTTATTGGTACCAGGGATCGAACTCACGACTGCCTGCTTGCAAGGCAGGCGCTTATGCCGCTGAGCTAAATCCCCAGCCCCAGAACCTTGTCTCAAAATAATACAAAAATAAAAAGGGCGGGGGATGTGGCTCACTGTGACAGTGCCGGGCCCAGTCCCCAGCGCCACACAGGACGTAAGTGTATACGTCAAGAATCAAGAAGGACACGGAGAGATTAGCACCGGAGTGTTGCTGATGGGAACGAGAGACAGCATGAGCACCATGGGACACAGCATGACAGGCCCTCAGATGGTCACACTGACCTGCGGTGCAGCTCAGTGATCGCTGTCCTAGACGTGTGCGCCCAGGAGCGCAGCAGTGACACGCAGGGGCCACCTGCTCATTCCATGGCTGCTACTCAGCCACAAGAAGGACAAAGTCACACCCAGGTGACTGGTGTCGTGGTGCTGGGGTCTGTGCCTGGACCCCCAACCCCTATCAGGTGCACGGCGTGGGCCCAAAGGGATGAGACAAGCGGCCTGGTCTGCGGGGCTGCAGGAGTGAGACCCTCAGCAGGGCTCCTAACTCCGCCAGCTGCCAGCCGGCGCTGACTGACTCTGGGCAGCCAGTATTTAATCAGGACCAGCAAGGAGCTGAGCGGACAATGAAGGAAACCTGAGCAGCGCCTTGGGAGGGGGTCAAGGGCCCCTCAGAGCAACAGCAGATGCTAACTAAGGAAAACCATCCACAAGGTCTCCAGGCGGCCTCAGCGGTGGCCCATCTTGGCCCCTGAGGTGTCCCTTGGTCTCAGTTCAGCCGTGCCCGGCCCACGCCACAGCCCTGCACGTGTACTCAGCTCCAAGGCTCCCACAACGCAGGCCTCCTGCCGAGACAGCGCTGACCGGAAGTGCCCACCTCGGGCAGATGTGGTGGGACAGCAGGAGGGAGGCCGGGGCGGGGGAGGATGGGGCTCAGGCACGGGATCCTCTTGGGCGGTGAAAATGTCCCGGACTCAGAGGCACAGCACCGTGGGCACCGGTCACCAACACGAGCCGTCGGTCACGCCTGTCAGCATGGCTGCTGCTGTTTCCCGTTTATCATTTGGCAGTGCCAGGGATCGAACCCAGAGCCTTGTGCACACTGGGCAAGCGCTCCATCACTGAGCCACATCCCCAGCCCTTTGTACTTTTTATTTTTTACGTTTGACACAGGCCAGCTAAGTTGCCCAGGATGGCTTTGCACTTTCAAGCCTCTTGCCTCAGTTTCCCCAAGTGTTAGGAGTACAGCACAGGATACCTCGTGTGTATGTGTGTGTGTGTGTGTGCATGCTGCCAGATGGGGGTCTGGACCCAGGGCCTTCACACTGAACTAAATCCCCAGCCTTTTATTTTTAGACAGGGTCTAAGTGGCCCAGGATGGGCTTGAATTTGTGATGCTCCTGCCTCAGCCTCCTTGAGGGCTGTGATTACAGATATGTGCCATCACCATGCCAGCTAAGACATGTTTTTAAAAGTCCTATTTGCCTTTTTCTGAAGACAGGTGAGCTTGGCTTCTGGACCGTTCTTCCTTCAGTGAGGATCCTCTTCTAGGTTTGAGTGACAAGATGGGAAAGGAAGAAGATGGAGGCTCCAGGGGCCGTGGTGGAGGGGTGCAGAGAGATGGGTGGAGGGGAGAAACCCCAGGGACCCGGGATGCCAGTGCCCAGCCCAGAGCCTGCCACTGGGCACAGGCCAAGGGCCCAGGGTGCACTTCTCTGATCTGGCTTTTTTTTTTTCTTTTGAGACAGGGTCTTACTATGCCATTCAGGCTGGCCTTGAACTCACAGCAATTCTGCCTCAGCCTCCTGAGTGCCGTGATTACAGACATGCGCCACCACGCCTGGCTGCTCTGGTCCAGCTTTTGAGGTACTCTGCAACCCTCCACAGAGAGAGGCTGACCTGCCGTAAACTGCTAGTCTCCGACCACTTCCCTCGAAACCTCAGAAGATCTGCTCTCTGAAAAGTCACCCAGCCCCCCAAACCAAACAGGAAGCCCTGAGGGTCACAAGGCAGCGCGGCAAATTCCCCTCAGCGATAGGTTGAGCAGTGCCCCAGAACCCAAGGTGAATTCCTGGCACTGGGACGAAGCCTGCTTGGCACACAAGCTGTAGGTGTGACCGACTGAGAGTCTCACAGTGAGCCTGGCCTGCCTTGTCCAGGCGGGCTCGACAGCCAAAGTGGTCTTTGTTTTGTTAGGTTTTGTTTTTTTGAGACAGGGTCTTGCTCAGCAGTCCAGGCTGGCCTCAGACTCACTACATAGCCCAGGCTGGCCTCAGACTTGTGGCGACTCTCCTGCCTCAGCCTCCCCAGTGCTGGGACGGCAGACACGCGTCACCCCACCCAGTGTCAGCCTCTCTGTGAAGTGGTCCGTCCTACATTTGTGTGTCTCACAGGCTGCAGATGCTGCCTGCTGGACTCAGCTATCTGAATGCACAAGGGTCCCTGGGGTCAGAGAGACCATTTTCACTGCCTTGTACCAGCCTGGTGGAGACAGACAGACAGACAGACAAATGGACATGAATGTCTGCACCTGGGCCTGGGGCTGAGAAGACAGATGAGGGTGCAGAAGCCAGGGCAGGACCTGGACAGGAGGAGCTGGCTGGGAACCCAGCCAGGCGAGGGGGCAGGTGGCCCAAGGAGAGGTTGGAGGTCAGGGGTCAGAGGTAGTACACTTTATTGACCAAGTTCACCCCGTATCTCACATCCTGGGCAAGGCAAGGCCTGGGCTTGGCCAGTGGGGCAGAAGAGAACTCGGCTTGCAGATGCTCCTGGGCTTCCTGCAGCAGAGCACGGGGAGGCGAGGCCCAGAGCGCCTGCCCAGGCCCCGCCAGGCCTCACTGCCCTGTGAGGTCGGTGGTGTTCACAGTGAGCCTGGCTTGGATGGCCAGGCTGGGGGTGACGGTGACAGGCGTCCCCATTCCCACCCGCCCTTGGCCGGACTCGGAGCTAGGGCCCCAGCCTGCGTCCCCCTCTGGGACAGGGAAGTCCCTGGGCTGCAGAGGCCAAGGCAGAGCCACTTCTCCAGGCGAGCAGCAGGGCCACCACTCCTGGCTCAGAAGCTTCTAGAACATCTTGGTGACCCCTCTGCTCCCAATGGAGAAAAACATCTTTGAGATCTAGGAGTTGACCGGAGTCATAGAACCAAGCAGTAAAAACCCCGGGACGGTGGTGACCTTTGCTAAGGAGCCCAGGGATGGGTGGGATGGCGGAGGGGTGGGTGGCTCACGAAGGCCAGGCCAGGGACGAGGGGCAGCAAGCGGTGGTGAGGAGAAGGAGGAGGAGGACAAGGCCTCCCGGGTGCCCAGGCCGGGCTCAGTGCAAGGCAGGCAGGCATCCTAGGCCTTGAGGTCCCCGTCGGCCGGCGGCTCCTTATGGCCAGCGGTGGTGTCCAGGGTGGGTGTGAGCCCCAGCATCTGGCGCTGCACCAGCCTGGCGTAGAGGCCGCCCTGGGCCAGCAGCTGCTGGTGGGAGCCCTGCTGCACCACGCGGCCCTTGTCCAGCACCACGATGCGATGCGCACGCTCCACAGTGCTCAGGCGGTGGGCGATGATGAGCACCGTGTGCCGCCGCAGGTCGCCGTGGATGGCCTGCTGGATCTGGGGATGGCGGCAGACGCTCAGCCTGGCCGGGACTCTAGGCACTGAAGCTGCTCTCATCAAGGCCCCTCCTCCCTGGGGATCCCCGGAGCTGGCCTCTGTGTGACACTGTCCGGCGGGCACGTGACAGTCGGCCCCATCTCCCGTGGACCTCCCTGAGCAGGGCTGGGGCCTCTTGGGGCCTCGCGTCCTGTCTGCTCCGGGTTTTAAAAGCTTAAAGCTGGTCTAAGTAAAATCAAGGGGACCTGAGAGCTACTCCCCGGGGATGGCACTGTGGGGAAGGGGGGCCTGGCTCCCGAGCTCCTCTTTCCACTCCTGTGTTCTCCCTTTAGAAGGCCTGCTGTGGTCAGCGTGGTGGCAGACTTAGGGAGGGAGGCTGAGGCAGGAGAACCCTGAGTTCAAGCCCAGCCTGGGTAACTGGGTGACTCAGGGAAAGTCAATCTCAAAATAAAAACATAAATAAAAAAGCCTGGACACATGAAATAGGGCAAGGTGAAGGCCTGGCTCAGGCCTCACTGCAACAGAAGACAGTGGAGCCCAGTAGTTAGTGCCAGAGCTGGTCCCACTGCCGTCCCTGGTGTCCGAGGCGTCGCTGCTGACAGTGGTGGCCCCTCCCATCTTCCGTGTCATCTGTGTCATCTATGCCACAGTGGAACACGAGCCTGTTTCCTGACTCATGTGTTCCTCACACAGGGAAGAGAGGATGCAGGGGTGGGGCAGCCCGATCTCCCGGGGCTGGCAGCCACCACCTAACTCTGGGCTAGGAGGGTACAGCGCTCGGGGACTTGCACTGAGCTACGGCCCCAGCTCTTCTGTGTTTTCCTTTTTTGATTTTTGAGACAGGGTTTCAGGCTGGCCTCAAACTCACAGGGATTCTCCTGCCTCAGCCTCAGAGTGGTGCGCACTGCCACGCGGGGCTTACTGGCCCTCTCCACTGATGCAAATGGGACTCGGGAAGGAACTGGCTCCAGGTCACGGTCCCAGCGTAAGCTGTGGGCAGGCCAGGGGTACAGCTCTGTGCAAAGTGTTTGCAAAAGCCCTTGGCTGTGATCCCCAGTGCCAAAAAACAAGAAACCGCACCCCGAAGTCCACACCCTGAAATCCAGTGCCTGGCCGGGTCTCTGGGTCCTGCTGCCCTTGTGTGCCACGGCCTTAGCTCTGCCTGGAACCAGGAAGCCAGGGTGACCAGGCCCAGGGCGCCCCTGCCCCCCCCAGCCAGTGTACAGGGCAGGGGCTGGCGGCCACCGCCACTCACCAGATACTCGCTCTCCGCATCCAGGGCGCTGGTGGCCTCGTCCAGGATGAGGACAGGAGGGTCCCGCACCAGGGCCCGGGCCATGGCCACCCGCTGCTTCTGCCCACCTGACAGCTGGGCACCCTTCTCGCCCGTCTCTGGGGATGGGAGCAGAGGGCAGAGACAGGTGAGGGGAGTGCAAACCGACCCTCCGCTGCCCACCAGCTTCCCAGAGCAGTGGCCACAGCAGCCGAGGGCAGCACAGTGGGCTCTACCATGCTGTTCAAGGAGGCCGGGGGGACACTGGTCCCCCACACACAAGGGACCCCATGTCACCGGTCCTGACCAGCACACGGCTCTGCTTGTGCCCCACTGCCACCTCCGGGCACATCCGCCACCCAGCCACCCTCTCCTGGACACAGCCCAGGGACTCTGCCCTGTGCAGCAGGCAGCGCTATTCTTGGGAAAAGCCCAAACAAACGAATGAAACCCATCAGCTCTGCCAGCATGGTTCCCACAGCTGGCATCCCAGCACTCGGGAGGCTGAGGCAGGAGGATTACTATGAGTTCAAGGCCAGCCTGGGCTACAATGGTGGGTTCAAGGCCAGCCAGAACTATATAGAAAGACCCTGTCTCAAAAAAAATTTTTTAAACTCTATCAACAAAAGTCCATCGATAAGAAATGGAATCAAATTATTAAGTAAAGTATTATGAAGGCCCATGCACTGCAATACTGAGCAGGCTAGGAAAAGGAGCGGGTGGGGGGTACAGAGGGGGGCAGGCAGCCCCCAGCTATCACTGTGGGAAGGTCACAGGGACACCTGCCACGTGAAACAACTCAGGGGTGGCTTCTTTCCCGTAAATGGGCAGGGGGATAAAAACAGACCTTTATATTTGCATTAAGAAACCTCGAAGCAGCCCACATTGTGGTGTACACCTGTGATGCCAGCACTTGGGAGGCTGAGGCAGGAGGATCACTGTGAGCTGGAGGTCAGCCTGGGCTACACAGTGAGCTCAAGTCAGTCCGACTGCACAGTGAGACCCTGCCTCAAAACCAAGGTGGAGGAGGGGCTGGGGATATATGGGGTTTTCTTTTGTTTTTGGAGTGAGACCAAATTTTGGGTCCCTTTGCCTCAGCCCTCCAGAGCGCTGGGATAACAGGTCAGCTGTGCCCCTTGCCCCTGATTTTGAGACAGGGTCTCACTATCTAGTCCAGGTCAACCTTGAATTCACTGTGTAGCCCCAAGGTGGCTTCAGATTCACAGTGATCCTCCTGCCTCAGCCTCCCCAGTGCTGGGAGTACAGGTGTGCACCACCAGGACCAGCAAAATCAAGTGGTTCTAATGAATAACATGAACACATGATTTTATTTTATATTTTTGGTACCAGGGATCAAATTCATGACCTCATGCTTGCCAGGCAGGCGTTTACACCACTGAGCTAAATCCCCAGTCCAAACTCATGATTTTTTTTTTTTTTTTTCTTTTTTCCGGTACTGGGAATTGAACTCACGACCGCCTGCTTGCAAGGCAGGTGCTTATGCCACTGAGCTAAAACCCCAGCCCCTTTTTTTTCTTTTTCTTTTTTTTTTTTTCAAACTCATGATTTTAAAAGAGTCCTGGAATGAGATAGAGGTCACGGTTCTGCTGTGAACATACTAAATGCCACCTAATGTCTAGCTTTTACTGCTTATTTGTGTGGTTTGGAGGATTAAGTCCTGGGCCTTTGCACTGAGCTACATCCCCAACCTCTAAGGTTTTCATTTTGAAACAGGATCATTAAATTGCCCGCTGGGCTTGCACTTGGCAATCTTCCTGCCTCAGCATCCCGGGGACTACAGATGCGCACCGCCAGGCCTGGGCACACCACTCCCTCTGCGGCTGCGCGTGTCTCTGTGCAAGGCAGGGGAGCGCACACCCCTGCCGGCCCCCGCGTACCCGTGCTGTAGCCATCCTGCAGCTCCATGATGAAGCCGTGCGCGTTGGCCTTCTGCGCGGCCGCCACCACCGACTCGAAGGGCACGGCGGGCAGCCCGTAGGCGATGTTGTCGGAGATGGAGCGCGCGAAGAGCACGGGCTCCTGGCTCACCAGGGCGATCTGCGGTGGAGGGGAGGCTCAGCCAGGGCTCCGCCCTCCCGGACGGGGGGGGGGGGGGAGCAGGCATGCGCAGCGCCCATGCTCTGCCTGCCTCGGCCTCACCAGGGAGCCTCCGGGCCACTAGGACCTCGCTGACAGCTGGCCCCTCTCTAAGGGAACAGATCAAAGGTGCTGCTGTCTCTTGATCCTGGCTAGGAATCTTGGCTACAAATATGATATGGAAGATGTCGTCCTGCTGTAAAGAGATGAACCGCTGGGCGTGAGTGTGCACACCTGTGATGCCAGCTCTGGGGAGGCTGAGGCAGGACGACTGCTGCGAGTTTGTGGCCAGCCTGGGCTACAAAGTGAGTTCGAGGCCAGCTTGAACTGCATAGGGAGGCCCTGTCTCAAACACAACACAACAATTAAGCTTAAGGAGTAGGTTATTCACAAAGGAGGAAAAGCAAATTCACCAATGGAGCACAGACTTGGGGGCCAGCAGTGTCAGCGGCTGAGAAGCAGAGTGTCCCAGCCCTCGGTGGGGACAGCAGCCCGGGTCACATACTTAGGAACCCCTCCTCGGCGTCTCCCTTTGGTGCATAAGGGACCCAGGGCTATTTCAGCCTGTGACCTCCTTCCCCGGCCAGAGCATGGCTGGGAGGCCTGGAATCTCTGTGCCAACCCTAAGCTTCTCAGGTGAGAGGATAGAAGGGTGGCTCCCTCACAGCCGGGTTCCTTTTCTGTTGTACAATCTGAACACCCGTACAGGCCCCCTTGCTCACATTCGAACAGAGCATTAGATGTGCAGGCCTCGTTTCTGAAAGGACTGTCCTCGTGGTCATAAAAAGCCTCTTCTGAGTCCTGGAGAGGACCTGGAACTCTCGTCAGCAGCTGAGAGCATCACTGGAACACGGTGACGGGAGAAACTATTACAGTTGGGGCTGGGTATCTGCCATTCCCAGACCTTTCTGTTCTAAGGGTTCCCCTTAAGGGGGAGGCACCCATAGACACAAGAAACAGGGCCAAACTGTCCACCTTCCTGATGGGGACTGTGGTTCATGGAAAACTACTACAGTACCCATCCAAAGCAGAAAACACGGATAGACTGTGACATTTAACACAGCGGGTCATCATTCATCAGGAAGAATAGTAGAAAACGCCACAGCCCTGACCTGGTGCCTGGCACCGAGCAGAAGGTGCAGCACTGGGGGAGCACAGCAGGGCCTTTGTTCTCGGGGAGGTGCCAGGACCTCCGCTGATCCCCAAATCCTCGGGTGTGAAGTCCCTTCCACAAAGTGGTTCAGCAGGTATACATAAGCTGGGCCTCATCCACTCTCATGTACTTCTTGGCTTGGCCTTTTTTTTTTTTTGAGTTGGGGGTCTCACTAAATTGTCCAGGTTGGGCTTAAACTTCCAAGTTTCCTGCCTCAGCCTTCTGAGTGCTGGCATTACAGGTGTGCACCACCACACCTGCTACAACTTTTCCCCCAGTCCCGGGATTGAATCCGGGGCCTTTACATGGAGCTATATTTCCAGGCCTTTTTAAATTTTTGAGACAGGGTCTCACTAAGTCGCCAGCTTGCCCAGGCTGGTTTCGAACATGCAATCCTCCGGCCTCAGCCTCCTCAGAGCCAGGATTACAGACATGTGCCACCACCGCCAGCTGTGATTTTGCTCTAATGTCTTTAATCCATAGCTGGGTGACCCTGCGGCCCACAGCCGCAGATACCGCTGCCCGTGCTGCGATCCTGTCTGGGTCAGGTTCAAAGCAGGCGAAACAGAGTGTGGCGTCTGGGGAAACTGAGGCAGCAGAGCTGATGAAAAGCAGGAAAGCGGGAGTGGCAGAGGGTGCAGTGGGCACACCTGTAATCCCAGCCACGCGGGAGGCGGAGGCAGGAAGGTCAGAAATTCAAGTTTGAGAGAGAAATGTAAAGCAGAAAGGGCTGGGAAGCAGCTCAGCGCCCCTGTACCAAGGGAGGGAAATAAAGTGGCGGCCCCGCAAGCCCGGCAGCTGGGGTGCAGGGGCTGGGCGGGGACGTGGCGGCCACTTACCACGCGGTGCAGGTACTTGTGGTCATAGGCGCTGATGGGCTGGCCGTCCAGCAGCACGCGGCCGCCCTGCAGCGGGTAGAAATTCTCCAGGATGTTCACGCATGAGCTCTTCCCGCTGCCCGAGGGCCCCACGAGGGCTGTCACTTTGCCAGGGGACAGGCTGAAGGAGACATTCTGCAGGGCCAAGGGGCACCGGGTGTGGGGAAGCCTGGGCTCAGACACAGCCAGGTGCTCCCCTGGCCCCCGGTTCTCCATCATAGGACGCCGGGCCTTGGTGGCGCCTGTGCCTGCCGTGCCCTCTGCAGAGCCACCTGCCTGGCTACTGGAGCGGCGAAAGGCTCGAGGGCGTCACCTCCTCTGGGAAGGCCCCATGACTGTCCTTGCCCAGCCTGCTATGGCCACCAACCTCCCTGGGGCTCCTTCCCGGGGTCACCTGCCCGCACCTGCAGGACCTGGGTGTGCGGCCGGGTGCGGTAGGTGAAGGTCACATTCTCGAAGTCCACGCGGCCCTCCAGGTGCTCGGGCGCCAGGCTGCCACCGCGGGCCATGGTTGGCTGGCGATCAATGAACTCGAACACTTTCTCGGCGGCACCCACGCCCTGCATCAGGCCGCTGTACACGGAGCCCACAGACTGCAGGGACAGACGGACAGGCATCCTGTCCACCAGCCCCTGGGGACGCCTGGGAGATGGGAGTGGTGAGGACAGGACAGCAGCTCTGGGGACACTGCAGGGCAGTGGGGCGTGGCCCGCGGGTACGGTGGGCAGTGGGTGAACGCCACATGGTGGTTTGTCAGCAGCAACAGTGGCCGTGCCCTGGTCACTGCCATGGCCTCCCCCAGCCAGCGGGGAGCACATCACCGTGCCCCCCGGGGAGAAAGCCCCGTGAGCCCAGGTGCTGACAGGTGTCCTGAGATTGCCCAGGCCAGGCTGAACCTGTCACCTGCCTGCCTCAGCCTCCCAGCATGCCGGGTGGATGACAGGTGCACACCACCTCTCCCAGCTGCCTGCAGGCACGGTCACCGCTGAGTCACTAATGGCACAGCTGTGACTCTGGCAGTGACGCAGCAGCTTGGACTGGACTGGACTGGACGCTGCCGATGCCCCACATCCTTGGGCCTCAGTCTGGGGAACACATAGGCCGACTGCACGCTGCCCGATACCGCACGCTGGGCTCACTGGGGCAGTCTGAGCCCCTGGCCCTCAGGGGACACAGCTGAGGCCACCTTGCTGTCCCTGGACTTCTCAGAAGCACAGAGCCCCAGTAATCTGACTGCACCCTAAACCTGTCTTGGGGCCCAAGTTCTGTCCCCAAGCACAAAGGCCTTTTGCAGTTTTCTTGCGTCACAGCCTCCCGAGCCTGTTTGCCTTCCTGAGAGAGGGGTCCAGGCTTTCTGGTTTTTCTGAACTGTCTTGCTGCTTGGTCTGGGCTGCACCCCCCCTGCCCCTGGGTACCTGCCCGTGCCACCCGTCCCTGTAGGGCCCTCACCTCCATGCAGTCCCCCAGCACGAACTCGTAGATGATGAAGGCGATGAGGTCGCCGCTGGTCATCTGGCCTGAGATGACGAGGTGGCCGCCGTAGTAGAGGATGCTCACCTGGACCAGCAGCAGCGTGAGCTGGGGGAGAGCGGGTCTGGGTCCGGGCCCTGCACCCCGCAGCAGGGAGGCTGCCTGGTGAGGGAGCCCACCGACCTGGCCCTGCCCAGCCCGGCCCGGCCCCAGCTGCCCACAGAGGCCCAGAGAACAAGCCGCCTTTGTGTGGCACTGGCTCCTGTGGCCGTGTCCCCTGACCCCCGCCAGCTGGTGGGAACTGCTGGGCCTCAGAGTGGGGTACAGTCACTGGGCAGCGTGGGCTCCCAAGGAGGGACTGGCCTGCAGGTGGCTAGGTATCGGGGGCCCCACATCAACCTGCCCAGGGTCCCAATCTGTCCCTACTCCAGGCCCAGATCCAGGGCAACCGTGGGGTGCTAAAGGGGAACCCCATCTCCACAGGGGGGCTGCTCCCTTCCTCCTTGGCCGGCACTTTTGGGAGCGTCCTGTGTGGGAGGGAGACCCCAGCCCCTCTTCTAGACCTATAGTTCTTCCCTGACCTGAAGCCTCAGTGTGGCCCAGGCTGGCCTCAAACTCTGGGCGACCCTCCTGCCTCAGCCTCACCCCACCCCAGCCACTCCCCGACCGGCCCTCCTCCCCGGCGGCCAGGGGCAGCTCGGGGCCTCACTGTATGCAGACTGCACTCTGCCACCAGCCTGCTCAAGGGCCCCCGGCTCTGCGCCCCTGCACGAACCCCGCTGCCCCAGACGTAGGACGTGTAGGCGGCCGCCTCCTTGCGGTTGAGCCAGTAGACCTGCTGCAGCCTGCGTCCGAACACCTCGGCCTCCTCCTCCTCATTGGCAAAGCTGCGCACGGTCTTCATGGCGCTGATGGTCTCCTCCGCCGTGCTGCTGGCCCGCGCCAGGGCGCTCTGTACCTCTTTGGAGAGCCGCTGTTGGGAGGGACGACAGAGACCCTGGACAGACAGCCTCGTCCTGGGCCCAGCCCGGCTCCGTTAAGTTCCCGAAGGAAGTCCCACCCCACCGTCCAATCTTGTCTCCACCAGCATGATTTGAGGTAGGGGCGGACGGGTGGGAGAGTGCTTTAAATCAATTTTAGGGTTCAAAGGAGGCTATTCAAGCAGGGTGTGGTGCATATTCCTGTAGTACTGCACTTGGGAGGCTGAGGCAGGAGGACCACTGCATGTTGAAGGCCAGCCTGAGCTACGCAGTGAGAAAACAAAACAGAAAAAAGAACAAAAAACCAAAACAAAACACAAAGGAGGCTCTTCACAATGATGGTTTTTGGTGGTTATTTCAGAAAAGGAGCCTCAGCAGCTGATCCTGGGCTGACGTAGAGCAGGGAGGCCTGAGATGGTTGCTCAGGTTGTACACAATACAAGAAACGCCCCTTGACACAGATGAGGTGGATGGAGGCACTGCTGGGGAGATTCCAGAACTCCCAGCCAAGAAGCCACAGTGTGCCCTGCCCGGCCCAGCCTGGCTGGCAGTGGGTCTGACAGATGACACCCTGGTGACACCCGCCTGGGTCAGCCTCTGGAAGCTCTGCTCCAGCATGGAGGGGCGTGGCCCAGGTGCACAGAGGTGGAGACTTCGGGGACCCACAGTGGCTGTGTCACAGGGCGTCCCTTCCCCACTGCCAGCACCATCTCCCTAGGTGGCATGGTGACCCCCACCCAGCGCGCCTGCCCTCTGCCTTGGCCCTCAGTTCCCGGCCGCTCCCAGGCAGCTGTGCCTGGCTCTGACAGCTGGAGCTTACAGCTGGGTTTCCCCCAGGCTGGCCCACGTCCCTGGAGTCTTCCACTGGGGGGACATGGTAGGTGCTCAGGAAACAGTCACAAGTCCACAAATGAACAAAGGCACATGCAGCCCTCCCCCGCTGCTCGTCCCCGAGCCCCTGCTGGGGGCAGGTGCCAGGCTCCGCACTCCAGGGGCCGGCTGGGGCCTACCTTGTAGTACTTGCCGTAGATGTTGGACACCACCATGATGATGGGGAAGCCCATGAAGGTGACCAGGGACAGCTGCCACGAGAGGCTGAACATGAAGACCACAACGCCTGTGACCTTCACCGTGTTCCGCAGGAAGATGTTGATGTTCTGGGAGACCAGGTCGCTGACCATGGTGGTGTCCGAGGTGAGGCGGGAGATGAGGTCCCCTGGAACACGGGCAGCTCAGCTCCTGCTGGGCGGGGGACACTTGGGGACGCCCGAGGGGAGGGAGCAGCTGGGAGTCCAGGTGACCGCGGCCACAGTTCACAGCAGAACCCCCACATCCCTCTGAGGTGGCCCCACTCCCCGGGGCCCGCCCAGCTCGAGTGTCACTCACCTGTGCGGTTCTCATCAAAGAAGCTGGTCTCCTGCGACACCAGCGAGCGGAAGAGGCAGTTTCGCAGGCGGATGTTCAGTCTGGCAAATATGAGGGTAAAAATGCCGCCCCGAATACCTGCGGCAAATGAGCTAATTGCAGATAACAGATGTTATAGCGCGCGGCCTCCGAGGAGCGGCAGCCACCACCCGCCCGCCCTCCCATCCTTCCTCCCACTGCCAGGGTGGCGCCCCACCACCTCGGGCCCCTCCATGAGGGCAGGGGTGGGGACAGGGGACCCAGAGCTGCCTGAAACCAGCCAGACAGGATGGAGGGGACCCTCAGGGGCTGAAGCCTCGATTTAGGACGTGGCCTGCCTGCTGCAGGGATGAGGTGCTAGGCTGGCTCAGGACCGGTCACTGAGGTGACGGGCCGAGGGACAGGGCCCCCAGGGCAGGCGCGGGCGGCTACCTGCCGACGGCCAGCAGGCACACGACAACCACGGCCGTGCTGAACTGCTCCGTGCTCTTCTGGATCACGATGCCATCGATGGCCCGGCCCGTGTAGTAGGGCAGGAAGGTCTCGCCTGGGGGGGCAGGGTGGGCTCAGGGGTGCTGGGGCTAGGGTCCTAGCTCACCCAGGCCCTGAGCTCCCTCTGTCCCTTGATCCCCAGCAGCAGGATGTGCTAGGTGTGCAGGATGCATGTGGTGGGGCTCTGGCGCCCTCTGCTGGATGTGGCTTATACCCAGCCCCTCTTCCACCACATGGGTCCCGTCCACCTGAACTGCACTCCTGCCTCAGTTTACCCAGGTGTGATGAGAACATCCTGGGTACCAGGTGTCGGTCCCTCAACGTGGCATGCAGCGGGAGGACTCTGAATCCCAGATGTGGCTTCTGGAGTCCCCGAGTTTGGGGTTCCCCAGCCGCAGCAATTTATTCTTCACTTTTCCTACATAAGAGGGTGCGAGCTCAGAGCCTTCACATCTCTTGCCTACATTTATGCTGTTGGGGGGGCCAAGAAATCCACATGGAAGAATCCACCTTTTATCTATTTTCTCTTCTTGCAGGACTGCAGGCTGGATGCAGGGCCTCCTCAGGCCAGGCAAACACTCTACAGCCAAGTGACAGCCCAGCACCTTTTGTGACAAACGTTTTGCTGAATTGCTCAGCCTGGCCTTGAATGTGTGATCCTCCTGCCTCAGCCTGTTGAGTAGCTGGGACTACAGATATGCACCACCATGTCCAGCCTAAGAGTCTGCTGTTGTCAGGAGATGCTCAACACTAAAATCAAGCTTTCCCGCAGTGAGTGGTTCTCCCCCTTTCTAGAAAGAAAAATTGGGTGAGCCCAAGAGCCGCGGGTCACAAGTGGTGAGCACAGTGTGTAACATCATGATGCTCGTATGTTGGCTGGGTGCTGTTTAATTCCCACGATAACCTAGCAAAGCCCCTCCTTCAGGGCAGGGGAGCTGAGGTCTGTATGGGTTATTAACTCGCCCTCAGCCGTCAGGAAAGCCTCACACCTGAGCCTGGCCTTGGCGCATCCTACTGCAGCGACACCTGGCTGCCCGGACACCCTCAGCGTGTGCCAGCCAACACGGGCCCAGTGGCGGGAGCATGAGGCTGTGGGATCACACTGGCCCCCACAGGCAGTGTCGTGGTTCCTTCACTGAGCCTGGGCCAGGCCTGAGGCCCAGGGAGGGTCCCCTGGGAAGGGAGACAAGCTAGCCCAAGGATTCTGCAGCGTTTTGAGACAGGGTCTCACTGTACAGTGAGGCTGGCCTTGAACCCGCGGCAGTCCTCCTGCCTCAGCTTCCCGAGTGCTGGGGTCTCAGGCGTGTACCATATCTAGCTCTTCCGGTCTGTTTTCACTCAGTTTTGCAAAGGTACGAAATGAGGACTCTGCTGACCCCACTGCACAGATGGGGCGGGACTCAGCAAGGCCCATACCGCGGCTAAGGCCCGGGATTGCGGTCAGGGTCCAGGCTGTGCTGCCCAGAACCACACAGTGTGGACCTACAGGGCTGCGTCCCCACGGGTTGCTGGGGGGAGCTGGGCTGGATGCCCAAAGCTTGCACACCAGCATACATAGCTGAAAGTCCTAACAGCAGTGCCTTTACCCAGGGATGCCTCTCTGGTTTTCTATCCCGCTCTATTTCATTATGAGGAAATTCTTCCAACCTAGAGATCCCACTTCTAGGAGTTTATCCTCCAGGCCTACCCACGTGTGTGTGACAGGTGTATGAACACAGGACTCCACTGTGAAAAAGACTCCAAACCCCGGGCATCTGACAACAGGGAACCATCTAGAAGAATTATGCTACAGTTACACAGTGGAATACTATACAGCAAGTAAAGGGAATGAGGTCTCAGTGGGGGAAATTCCAAAATATACCGAGTAAAAAGAACCAGTCACCAAAGCCAGTGTGTGAGGGGCAGGGAATGGTGTTTTTCCGGGCGCTGTGGCTGGCACAAAAGAAAGGAAGACACTGGTCTCCTGCCTACTTGGGAGTTTCTAGAACCTTTACCAACAGTTCATCCTGGGCAGGAGGGTCAGGGGGTCACACTACACAGCAGTGAAACTCAGTGTTTTAGGGGCAGGGACACAGCTCAGAGCCATAAATGCCTGCCTGGCAGCCACAAGGTCCTGAATTCGATTCCTATACAAAAAAACTCAGTGTTTTCCCTTAGTGTCACTCGAATAATGGACCCATGCAAGTGACACAGCGGGCATCCCCAAGGGGAGAGGGACCATCTCCCAGGTGTCACTTACCCAGAGCAGCCACGATGAGGAAGAAGGCTGCGGTCACCAGGAAGGCGGCGTCGGGCCTGGTGTAGGACAGCAGCTTCCGCAGCGTGGCCCCCGACGCCTGCTCGGCAGGGGCCTGGCCGTCCCCGCGGAAGCCCTCGGCCTCAGTCCCCACGCCGGACCCCAGGGCCTCGGCGCCGGGCCGCACGGTGGACAGCAGCCACCAGAGCAGGGAGGCGGCGGCCAGCGACGCGTGCGTCCACAGGAACAGGGCCCAGAACCAGGGGTCCCGGATGGGCCTGCGCACCTCGGAGAAGAGCAGCAGCTTGGCCACGGCGTAGATGCCCACGCACAGGCACACGAGCGTGACGGGCAGCCAGGACGCCCGCAGCCGCCGCGGCCCCAGGGCGCTGTTCTTGGCCACGCCGATGGTGGCGCCCAGCAGCAGGCAGCCGCGGTACAGGCAGGCGGCCCACAGGTCCAGCACCGAGTCGAAGACGTTGAAGTGGCGCAGGTCGTCCAGCAGGCCGCGGTCCCGGCGGCTGAAGGCATAGATGGCCGTGGTCAGGCTCACGTCCACGCTCACGAAGGCCAGCGTCACCGCCACCGCCTTCCACAGCCGCATTCTGCCGGCGGGCGGTGGCCGGGGGCCCAGGCCCAGCTGCGGCTCACGGCGGCGGCGACAGCGAGGCCATGGTCCTCGGTGGGGTGAGGCCAGGCCTCGAGTCAGGTTTGCAGTGGAGCTGTGGGGCCTCGGAGACTCAGGGGGCCTCTCGGAGTGGCAGCTTTCTTATCTGTAAAATGACAAGGGCAAGCGTGCTGACCCCTGGGGCGCTGGGAGGGTCCCTATGCCATCTCAGGTTGGCCACCACTTGGACTCAAGGCGATCCTCCTGCCTCAGCCTCACCAGGGCTGAGATTATAGGCCTGGCCACCGTGCCCAGTTCTCAGGGGGTCTTTTCAAGCTGCTGTGGGCTCTGCTCTGTGTACTGAGGGGCTTTCGGTGAGGGGAAGAGGGGCTGAGAATCAAACTTAGAACCTTGCGCTTGCCAGGCAGGCATTGTGCTGCTGAGCTGTGTCCCTGGCCCCTGAACCGGGAATTTAACAGTGAGCAAAATGGGCACAGATCTCCGGTCTTGTGGACATGACAGCTCACACAGAGGACCAACAAGTGAAGCACAGAAAATGTTAAGAAATACAGGCCACAGGGACAAAAAGAGGTGACGAAGATGAGGGATGAGGCGGGGTGAGGGGACTGTCAGTGGGGGTGGGGTGGGGAGGCCCTCACTGCACTGGACCAAGACTGGACAGAGGTGGGGGGTGTGCCACATGGGTGCAGGGAAAAGCCTTTCAGGCAGGTGGAACAGACAGTGCAGAAGCTGTGAGGCAAGTGTGTGCCTCAGGCACCGAGGAAGGCCACAAGGCCCCATGATGCCACAGCAGGGCAAGGAGGACTGGAGGACTTCGGCAACAGGATAAGGGTGAGGTTCAGATCAGCAGGGCTCTCTTTGAACTCCTACAGATTCCTCTGATCCAGTGTCTGCATTTGTGTGGTATTTGTGTGAAGTCTGGTGCATGCCCGTGTGTCCTAGGCACGGCCTGGCACCCACTCAGGGCTGCTGACTGTTATCATGAGCAGTGGGCACTGGACCTGTGTGTCACTCTCCTCCCCAACCTTGACTGGACCAGGAGGGAGTGGGGAGGGTGTGCTGGAAGAGGCTGGAAGTTTCCAGAATCTTCCTGTGCAGCCAGCTCGGCCCTCGCCCTCCGCCCCAGCACCCTGTGGTGTCGTGGCTTTGTCCTGACAGTGGCCTGTCAGGCTCACCCAGACCTCGGTCTGGGAGAGGAGCCTGTCCAGGGAAGGACAGGGACTGGCCGGACGAGTCCCTGAGTGCCGCCTCCTGGCCAGTCTTGCTGGGGACAGGGGCTTTGCTCTCCTATCTGCAAAACAGGCAAAGCTCTGGAGCCCCTACGTGGAAGGGGAGGCTCTGAGTAACAGGAGGGGAAACCAAGTCACGGCAGTGAAGGTGGCCAGCATGCGCCAGGACCCCTCCCTGCAACTCTGGTGACCACGAGGAGGGGATGGACCTCATGCTGTGGAGTGAGCCATCCTCACATGAGCTCATTTACATCTGGGGAAACTGAGACACAGAGTGAGAAACGCCAACTCGGTGATAAAGACACTCAAGTGACAAGGACACAAATCAGGACTTGACTGGTACCAGAAAGACACTGTGGTAGAAAGACACTGTACCAGAAAGGACTGTGAGGCCCACACAGCAGGCATTCGGGAGCAGCAGCGCCGTCCTGTGACAGCCACTGCCACCATCCTCGCCTGGTGGGTGGACAAGCTGAGGCCCAGAGAGGTCATCGCTTGCCCGAGGTCACACAGCTGGATGACAGCACCACAGGGCTGTGAACTTAAGAGCTGCTGGGCGAAGCTGATAACAGAGGCCAACAGGGCGTTTCATATAAGGGAAACTGAGTCTGAGCAAGAGGGGCACAGGCAGGAAGCGGCACGATGATGGGGATGAGGAGGGTGACGAGAGCTGGCCAACGGGCCAAGTCACTCCCTTACTGGTTGCTAAGTCATTTGTGTGCACAGATGCTCGAAAGGGTTCCATCCAGGGGTAGGGGGTGTTATTATCCCCATCTTACAGCTGAGAAAACAGAGGTCGCTCAGCCATGTGAAGCTGGGACGTGAAATTCCAAAATCTGGGCTCCCTGCTCCAGAGCTCTGCTCCTTCTGAACAGTCTCTCAATGGGGAACGTGAGACCCCAATGGTGCCAAGGAGGGGTCTGGGGTCCATCGAGGGTGTGGGGTATGAGGTCCCCAAGCCTGTACCCTGACGTTACCCCAGCGCCTCCGGCAGATCCCAGTCTGGGCAGGCCAGCTGCCGAGTCAGCAGCTGCCACTCCAGAAGAAGCAGGGCCAAGTGGGGGGCAGTTAGGGCTCAGGACCAACCAGGCTCTGCCTGTCCTCAGCCTGGCTGGGCCACCAGCACAACTTCCTACTGCAATGCAGAGGCCTCGGCACTCAGGCAAGTGAGTGGGCGAGCTCCCGGAGGTTCCCAGGCAGGGCGCGCCTGGCCCAGGGCCACCTCCCGGCCACCGCTGGCTGCTGCCTCTTCCGGAAGCCCCCTGAAAGTAGCTGGGGTTTGGAGCCAGGCGGCGGCAGAGGAGCAGGCTGGGCAGCAGTGCGGGGGTCAGAGCAGCCCTCCCCACTGACTGCAGCCCGACACCGGGTGGCCTCCACCCATGGGGAGCTTCAGCTGTGCACACTCCACAGGCCAGCCCAGGAGGAGAGCAGGTGGGGTTTAATGAGGGCCACCCACAAACCGGGCAGAGCAGGAGTGGCAGATGTGGTCCCCCAGTGCTGAGACTTTTTACTACAGCTCCCTCCCAGCAGGATGCAGCTCGGTCAGGTCGGGTTTCAATGCTGGCTGGGGACAGGTTTCCCGTTATTTTTAAAGTTACGGAGCAGGAGGGAGAAGGGGACAGAGCGCAGACCTGGAGGCTGGGGCCCGAGGTGGGAGTCCAGCCTCCAGCTCATGACTCCAGCAGAGCTCCGCCAGTTGCAGCTGGAGGGCAAACCCTGGGCACACGGGTGACGCGTGCAGCCCAAGAGACAAGGACAAGGTAGTGGCCTGCTGCCAGAGCGGGCCCTGCCTAGGGCTCAAGATGACCCTGAAAACCAGGGGCCACTTGCCTGGACCTCATGTGCTTGGGGTGGCCCAGGCTACTAGATGGCTTGTCCCCCTGAGGGCCTTGTCAAGGGCTTTCCCATGCAGTGGAGGAGGCACTGGTGGGGACAAGTCCGGCTGTCAGCTGCAGAAAAGGAAAGTCTGCAGCAGCCAGGAGATGAATACCGACCACTACAACCACAGCGGTTGCAGTTTCTGGGGTGACGGGTGATGCTAGGCACCTTAGGCCACCCAACTCACAATTCCCACCCTCCCCATGACAGCCCAAAGGAAATGATGGCGTAGCACTGTGACCTGACCCTTCACCCAGGGGGCAGCTCAGGGGTCAAGGCAGAGGTCCTGACGCAGGTGATGGGTGGCCTCCATTCGCCTCTCCCTTGGTGAGCTTGCCACCCCAGGTGTCCCTGGCACTCAGTACACCCAGGCTCTCCAGGTCCCCTTCGTGCATCAGGGGCACTCGGGGTCTCGGAGGCCTGAATGGGTTTGGGCTGGGCCCATGTAGATTGGTCCCGCCTGGCTGCACCCACATACTGTCACCTGGGATGGGGATCTGGAGAAGCTGCTCAGGTAGCTGCTGCCTGGTGCCCTGGCCAATAGGGGAGCCCTTCCTAGTGCGTTCCTACGGTCACCTGGCCCTGTGCCATCCCGAGCAGCAGGGAGGCCACATCTCCAGGGGATGGGGTACGGGGCGGGGAATCCCCGCACTCACGGCAGAGTGAAGCTATTGCAGATGCACACAGCTTCTAGTGTCGGGGAGCAAGCAGGGAGGGGCCCCAGAAACCCAAGCCTCGCAGTGGGCGGTGCGAGCTGGAAGACTGGGCCAGAAGGAGCTCTGCTACCCGGCTCCGCCACAGCCAGGGCGCGGGGGTGGGGAGCCGCGCAAGGCCGCTCCCGGGATCCACGGCCCTCCCGGGATGCCCCCGAAACACTCCCCGCACAGTTTCCCGGACGACGGCGTCGCCCGAGGGGTGAAAAAAATGGCACCTACCCGCGCGGGCTGGGAAGGATGCTGCGGGTGGTGGCTGGAACTTGGGCCGCAGGCGCCGGGTATCGCAGGGCCCGAGCCCCGGAGATGCCCTCCGCGCAGGGCCAGGGTCCCACGCGGGCGCCGCGCTCTTACCTGGCACTTGCCGCCAGGTGAGCCGTGGGAGGGGGCGCGTGGCGGGCCGGGGGCGTTGGTCGAGGGCGCAGTCTCCGCGCCGCTCACGGGAGTCCGCTCCGGACGCTGCTCCCTCCGCTCTGCTCCGCTCCTCCCGGCTCCCGCCCGCGCTGCGCCGCTGCAAGGTCGGAGCTCACCGCCGCGGGCACCGCAGCTGGGCGAGGGGGCGGGACCTCGGAAGGGGCGGGGCCTCGGGGCAGAGGCCGGGCCTATCCTTCCTCACGGGGTGGGGCCTCGTGAGTGGGCGGGACTCTGGCAAGCGAATCCTTCCCTCGGGGGCGGGGCCTGGTGGGCGGGACATCCTGCGTAGGGCGGGCACAGCCTCCCAGGGGCGGGGCCAGAGCTGGTCACCTGCTCACCTGAGGTGAACTCTGAACCCCTCTGGGCCGCAGCCTCTACACTCTGCGTGCTCTCCAGCTGGGCGCCGCTTATCCGCTCATCCCCACGGGAGGGAAACGGCCCCGCCTCCTGGAACTTTTCCCTTAGAGCTGCAGCCCGCCAGTTCGGAGTTGGGGTAGAGGGTTATGATCTACCTTCACCCTCCACCATTCAGCACGCATTTATGGAGCACCTACTGTGAGCATACAGTACTCTAAGCATCCGAGAAGCCGAGCTTGGGGCGCGCCTGCAGTGCCAACTGTGTGGGAGGCTGAGGCAGGAGGATCACTTGCGCCCGGGAACCCGGCAATATAGTGACCCTCTTAAAAAAAAAAAAAAAAAAAAGGCAAAGAAAAAAACCCACCGATATCCAACCAGAAACCAAACAAGATCACTATCCTCCTGGAGCTGACCTTCTGACGTTAAGTAGTAAGGAATACATTTCATGGAGAGAATCAGTATTTGCCAGGCTTGGGAGGGGGAGGAGCAATCAGTACCGACCGCTGGGTGCCAGGTGCTTTTGTGCAGCCCAGATAGAACAGTGTATACAGCTCCGTGGGGACAGGTGGAGAGGTGATGGAAGCCTCCGAGGGCAGCCAATCCAGGCTGAAGAACTGGCTAGGCCAGGCCAATGGGGAACAGCAGGAGGGGGTGGGGAACGGGCTGGGGGCGGGGCATCGGGTCCCTCTGCCCCACCCTCAGCCAGAGGTTTCTGCATGCTGTGTATTTATTTATTTAGTGGTACTGGGGGATCGAACTCATGACCTCGCACTTGCCAGGCAGGTGCTTATGCCACTGAGCTAAACCCCCAGCCGCTAAATTTAAAACAGCTTCTGATTTAAAAGGAATTTTTTTGGGGGGCTAGGTAGGAATTTCTTGTATAGAGAGAGGTACAAAACTGACATGCAAAAGGCAGCTAAGATAGGCGCTACAAGGCGGTTACAGCAGTGGCAAAGTCTGGGACTAACCTAGATCCCCTTCCACAGGGAGCTGCGGGATAATTAGAGAGCACCCTTCTGGCAGAGGCTCGGCGCCCGGGGAAAATGCACGCAGGACAGAAAGTCACAGGAAGCGCAGCCTCAGAAGCCGGCTGAGTAGAGCGGGACTGTGGTATCGCTTGGGCGAGCACACAGGCAACAGAGAACTGCAAAAGGTGGGATGAAACAGTGAGGATCTAAATGTAAAAATGTAGTACAGGAAAAATCACCTTGTCATTAATTTCCCCAAATCCTGCTAACACACTTAGCCCATTTTTCTTGCCACTTGATGTACCAGGTCAGAGTCTTCTTATGTGAGAGTTGTTATTTTATTTTACTTTTTTTTGTGTCTTTTTGAAACAGGGTTTCATGATACAGTGCAGGCTGGCCTTGAACTCCCAGGGATCCTCCTGTCTCAGCCTCCCCAGTGCTAGGATGACAGGTGTCAGGTGTGTGCCAGAGCTGCACTACTGTGGCTGCCTGATGTCCTGAGCAGATTAAAATGTTGACCTTTCAAGGTCATTTTGACTTTGAAGAGCCAGGAGTCCCACAGTACCAGGTCTGATGAATAAAGTGGGTGAATGCACCCTAAAACGTTTTTATAAGCCTGCCTTTTCATCAGTATTCACCTAGTTTTTGATCACACGTTGTAAAGACCTCTATGAAATAAGACTTACAAGGCTGCCTTGGGAAGGAGGACGGAATGAGTTCAGATCGAGGGACAATACACTGAAGGAGGATTAATGGCAATGTATCTTCTACTGTAATAAAATTTTTAAAAATCGAAACCTTCACCATATTTTTGATCACACCTCATACTTAAATCAGGCTTGAATGGTTATCCAAAATAACTTGAACATCTGAGACCTAGGACCACATCCAGGCTCTGCCCTCCTTGCTGTGTAATCCTGGTCAGGTGACTCTGCCTCTGGGGCGCTGTGAAGGATCTTTAGGATGCTTTGGAGATGGGAGGTGATTTCAGTGGGTCCCCGGGTGGTTAACTCAGTTCAAACAATTCGCCAAAGTATCCCAGTGGCTGCTAGCAAAGGAACAAAATTAAAAGGAGATGAAACTGCTGCCAGAGAACTGTGTGGTAACTTTCAGGAATTTGTTGAGAGAAAAATCTACAACCAGGGCAAATTCATGCCAATCAAGCTGGGTTGTTATCCAGCACTCCGGGGGCTGAGGCAGGAGGATGGCTGCGAGTCGGAGGCCAACCTGGGCTACAAAGTGAGTTCAAGACCTGTCTGAACTGCATGGTGAAACCTTTTCTCAAAAAGGTGGTTAAAAAACAAAACAAAACATAACCTATGCTGTTCTGGAAATGTCTACCATCAAGGACATTTGTTCCTGACACTCGGTGAAATACTCCCGAGGACAGGTCACACAGAGAGAGTGTGTTAAGATTACTGTTCCAGGGGCTGGGGGTTTAGCTCAGCGGTATAAGCGCCTGCCTTGCAAGTAGGCAGTCGTGAGTTCGATCCCTGGTACCGATAAAAAACAAAACAACAACAACAAAAAAAAAGATTACTGTTCCAGAGTCACATTCAGAACTGTTCCAGAGTCACATTCTTAATTCTACTGTTCTTAATCTTAATCTTACAATCTTAATGTGTTGTGTAAATATCATAGGTTCACACAAACTTTGTCATGAGGAAAGCAAGAAACACAAACAACAAAACCTGCGTGTTCAAAGGAACTGAACCTGTCAAACCTTCCTGTCACTTATTTCAGTCAAAAAGACACGTGGAGAGAGCAGTCTGTTCCCAGACAGTGACTTGATAGAATCCACGACCTTGCACTTGTCAGACAGGCGTTTGTGCCACTGAGCTAAATCCCCAGCCGTCACCAAAGCACAGAGAGAGCTTTTCCCAGACGATGAAGAAAACTGAGTCCTGGTGAAGCAGACACGTGAGCAGCTAACAGTGACAGTTACACGGACTGCAGACGGCTGTGACCATGTTGGTGCTGAGCAGGCTGAGTGCTGGCTGACTCTCATGGCAAGGATCTGAGCCGTCGGGTGCTGAGGGGTGCTGAGGGCCCGGCAGAGGCTGCCAGCAGAAGCCTCCCAGTGATACCAGAAGGGCAGGACCGAGCCCGAGGAGCACAGTAATCACAGAGGTGCCCTGAACGGGCAGACCGCGCAGTTATCTAGAACAGCAAGATGCCAGCTTCTGCTGACCAGTGGCTGTTACGGGGCTTCGGACCACAAGAAAGAAACAGAAGATCCAAAATAACAGAAACCATCCCTGGCGCGTGCAGTGCCCCCTGTATGTTCATCTTGGTGACTGTGGATCTGCGGTGGGACGTACCCGGGTGGAAATGGTTGGGTCCTAAGGCCAAACAGGCTTTATAAGCCAGTTTAGGGTTAGATGGCATCTTGGGTGACCTAAATCACAGTTCTGAATGTGACTCTGGAATCTGAGTGTTGATGTGGAACCTGTCTACTGTTCTTAATCTGTGTTATATGAAGTAAATTATGAGTAATGTCAGGCCAGGCCAGGGATCTGTGTGTGTTTGTGCTGAGTTGCAGGGTGTCTAACAAAAGTCCCTGCACATTACACACACTCCATAAATTTTACTTAAATTGAAAAAAGAAATATTCACGGCAGCTTCGTTCATTACATCTCCAAACTACATGCACAGCCTACCTGGCAAATCTAGAAAAGATTAATGGAGATGAGGAAGTTCAGCTAAGAGGGGAAATACAATGCAGCCTAGAGAAAGTGGGCTGGTTCCACAGGAGAGTGGACGGTTTTCAGGAACACAGTGTGGAGTGAGAGGGGGTATACAAAACAGCTCCAGGTGCACAAACCGGACTAGGTTAACCTCTGCTAGCACGAGTCAGGGTGATGATGAGCTTTGGGAGGTGGGTGGTGGCCAAGAGAGGACCTGGGTGCAGGAATGTTCAGTGTCAGGCCTCACAGGTGTGTCTAGTTTGAAAATTTGACAGGCCAGGCTGGCCTCCAACTCAGCGATTCTTCTGTCTCAGCCTCCTGGGTGCTGGGATTACTGATGTAAGCCACCACACCAAGGCCCTAATAAGACTTTGGACCTCACTGAGTCTCAGTTTCCTCATCTGTACAATGGGGTTAGTGGTACCTCAGGCTGTCAGCTGCTGGAAGCACATAGTAAACCGATGCTTTTTTTTTTTTTTTTTTTTATCTGTACCGGGGATCGAACTCACGACTGCCTGCTTGCAAGGCAGGCGCTTATGCTGCTGAGCTAAATCCCCAGCCCCAACTGATGCTTCTTATTAACTAGATTTTTTGTTTTGTTTTGTTTTTGGTTCTGAGACAGGGTCTTACTCTATAACACCGGCTGGCTTGAGCCTACTGTGTAACCCAGGCTGGCCTCAAATTGCAGTGACCCTCTTGCCTCAGCCTCCCGAGTGCTAGATTATAGATGTCACAGCTCTGGTAATTATTCTTGCTGCTGTCCCGTTGGTGACTGAGCCAGGCTGGGGTGCAGTGGAGGTGGGGACACTGTCTGATCTGGGGGTCTCATGATCACACTATGAACTGCGTGCGCACCGGGGAAACTGAGCTCCAACTGGGCGCAGCAGCGGGTGATGGACTGCAGGGCCAGCCTGCCCTGGGCCTGGCCAGGGCACAGGCATAAAGCTGGGCCTTGGGGAGACAGGTGGTTAGGGGTGAATAGCAAGCTGGGGAAATGGAGTCCTTCCTGGAGAGCAGGTCCTCTGCCATCCTGGGGTAATTGAGATGTGAAACTTTAAACAGTGCCTCGGGCAGAGGACAGCTTCGGGAAGGAAGCCGTCCTCTTCTCTCGAAGTTGGGAGGCCCAGACTGGGCTCCCGGACGCCCCTAGCCCTGTGGCCTCACACCTAAGGACAGAGGACACTGACGTAGACCTGGTTGCTCCTTTAGGGACAACACAGTCATCAGACTTGCTCTGACTGCAGATGATCCCACTTCTGAGCTGTATGACCTTGGTGGGACAGTGGCCCCCTCTGGCCCTCATTTTCTTCACAGTGTTTGCCGTGAAGTTTAAACAGATTCCCTCTGCACATAGGTAAGATTCAGAAGGTTCAGCCAAGGCCTGTTTTGCACAAGGATTCAGTGCCAACCCCAGGAGGGCTCATTCCCTGCATTTTGGCTTTCTGAATACTTTTCTTTTTTTCCTGGGATGGAACTCGTGACCTCATACTTGCCAAGCAGGCGCTTATGCTGCCGAGCTAAACCTCCAGCCTGTCTGCTACTTGTATTACAACACTATGTTTCTGATCGTCATCCCCATTGTAAATGTATGAGGGCCATTCTCATTGCCTTACTTCTCTGTTCTTTACACAAGTCAAGCTTGTGGTCACCCCAGGACCGTTGCACTGTCAGTTTCCCAGCCTAAAACCCTTTCCTGACAGATAGGGCTCAGCTGAATGTCTCAGTCACCCTGACCTCTCTCCATCTCCCACTTCATCTTCCCAGCACTTGTGAGGAGAGGGAAAGCTGGACCGCACACCTTTATTTTGTTCTTACTCTCTGTCTTCCACACTTTCTAAGGCCGTAGAGAACTGAACATGCCCCTGGCAGGCAGGAAGCTGTGAATGTGACTTTATTCCGGACAGCGTCTTTACAGATGGGATCCAGGTATGGTCCTGGATAAACCTGCCTGTGATCATGACCCTGCTATGCCACGCAGAGGCCACGAGGGTAGGACTCCTGGCCACCCGGCCTGTGGTAATTCCAAACCGTAAGCTAATACAGGTAGGGAGCTTGTCCGACACCCCAGAAACACCTCATCCGCTCAGGCGCACACCAGACTCACAATCAGGGGGCCCCCTGCCTCTGTGCAGCCCGAGTGACACACAGCCAGGCAGCTGTGGGCTGTGAAAGATTCCCCCTGGGGCCCTGTGGTGGTGCCCTTCGAGCAATGGCAGAGAGGACAGCCAGGCCCAGGGTGTTCCCTTCCTCTTCAGATCAGGGCTCCCTTGGGGGCTGGGCTTACTACAGAACAGGGCCACATGTTCCATGTGTGCTGTGCGTGTGCCTCGGCGCGTGTGAGGCCTAGGTGTGTGACTGCTGCCGGATGTGGGGTGTGAGTGCGCGAGCTAGGTGCACGCAGCAGGCCGTGGGCTGCTGTGAGCTAGTGAGGATGTCCTGGAGTGCGCATGTGCATGCATATGCTTGCGTATGCATGGTGTGTGCTGGCGTGGGGAGAAGCATGGATAAGAAAGCAAGGTTGATGAGACAGCACCAAGAGGCACCCAGAGAAAACCCCCAACCCCACGGAACCCCAGGCTTCAGGCTCCCCGCGGTGGGAAGGGACAGGTTGGGGGAGGGGACTCCTAGGGCAGACTCCAGAGGCCCGGCCTCTCCGAGCCTCAGTTTCTCCGGTAGATAACAGGAGTGTCTAGCTCAGAGGTCTGTCGTGGGAAGGAAAGGGGTCGAGGCAATGGTAGATGTCTCAGCGCAGGTCCAGACATAGAAGGCGCTGTCACTTGCAATCTTCTGGCGGAGAGAAAGGCTTCACCGAGCCCTGGCCGGGCTTCTAGGGCAGGGGCGAGGGTGGAATCCCGGACACCAATTCCCTACCCGGTGTCTCAGGCCTCCTGAGTGACGGGGCTTTGCAGACCTGGGCTCTGGGGTGCACAAGGGGGAAAGGACGAGGACCCTAAGAGACGGTTAACCTGGAAGACACCAAAGCATCACTTATCTCACACTGCGGCTGCGCAAACTCAAACCCGGCCCACACTCAAGGGGAGCCCCCCCCCAGCAAACCACGCCCAGGGTTCCGCTCACATCCGGGGCCTTCCCGGTCGTCGCCGGAAGTCGCGCAGGCCGGAGTATTACCGTGGATGAACTGTGTAAACCAAAAGTTTTGAGTGTCTGCGGGTCCCGGAGTAAACGCTGCACTCGCGCTCAGACAGGAACAAGGTCGGACCTCAAAACTCCTAACTGTCCTGCTTCCTTGTGAGGTCAGGTGCCTCTCCGAAAGTTCCTAGCTGAGTAGGGGGCCGCATTTAAAAGGAAAGGCTTTGTGGGCCTGAGTTCGTACCTGCCCACGAGGGTGTGACTTAGCTCGTCTACCCACATAGTGTCCCGTGGTGGGGAAATCATGAGGCAGAACCTGGGGGCCGCTGCCCTCTTCGTTCTTATCCTACTCTTGGGAATTTAGAACGGCCCTTTGGGTGCCGGCTCCACCCCGCTCTCGTACCCGGAAGTGCCCCTACGGAATCCGAGAGGGCCGCGTAACGCTTCACCATGGCGACGGCTGCAGCTCCTCGCCGCTTCTGCCGCTGCGCCTGCTTCTGCTCGGAGAACCTGTACGTGGCGCGCTATGGGCTGCACCTTCGCTTTCGAGACGAGCGGCAGCTGCGCCAGGACTACGGCTCTGTGAGTGACCCCTGCTGGCTCTCGGGAGACGCGGACAGAGGGTAGACGAGGGATCATTGTCCCCGAGGTTTCGAGTTCAGATACAAAGCCGTTTCCCCGCGCGCCTCGGTGTGCCCATCATAAAGGGGTGGACAGCCTCACCGCAGTGAGTTGTCGCGAGGAAGGAATGGGCGAACCCACGTGTAGGTGCTCTGCTGGTATTGGTGGGAGCAACCCGGGAACTCCGCTCTGCGCTTAAGGTCACCTGCATGATCCCGGTACACCCTGGCTCACATCTCCATTTTAAGGAGAGGAAACGGAGGCGCAGAGACATCAAGGGACTTGCTCAAGGCCACACAGTCACACTCACTGGTTCGTCTTCTCCCAGATCCTGCGCAGCCGAGGCTGTGTCAACCCCGAGGACTTCCAGCAGCTCTTGGTGGAGGTAACGCTCCCGGCCTCGCCCTCCCAACCCTCCCTCTAAATGTGTCAGCGGACTGCAGGGTCTCCCAGCCTGTCTCTGAAGGGCTCCTTGGCGCCACTTCCTGCCCCCATTCACCCCTATTCCTGGGTCCTGGCACAAGGTGAGAAATGGAGAAAGAGTTGTCTGTGTCAGGCCCCTATTGACTGCGGAGTGAGAGGTTCCGCCACACCCTCATTTTGGAGTGGGCGTCGCCTGCTCAAGGCCTCGGTGTGGGTAGGATCGAGATCCAGGCCATGGGTCCTGTGACCCTTTTGGCCTCTGAGGCTGGTGCCAGGGCTGCTGCTGCCCACTTAGCCCCACTTCCCCGACCTGGACATGGCTGGACCGTGACACTGCTTCCACCCAGGCCAGGACTAGAGCAGCCCAAAGTGTGATACCCGTGCCCCTCAACCCCCCACATGCCTTGTAGAAAGAAGTTCCTTGCCGGAACCACCGTCCCAGCACTGGGAGGCTGAGGCAGGAGGACTGTAAATGTGAGTCCCTCCTGGAGAATTTAAGGAGACTTTATCTCAAAATAAAAAAGAAAAGGGGCAGATAATATAGGTCAGTTAAAAAAAAAAAAAAGCTAGACGTTTGCTACCTGCATTGGACTCTGATAGATTCAGGAACGTAGAGGAACGTGGCCTCCAGCCTGCGTGCCACTCTGGCCTTGCCAGACCTCAGTTTCATCATCTCTACAATGGGTTCAAGGGACTTGGAAACCCTGCAACAGGGTAACAGCTCTGTGTCATCCCAGCTTGAGCAGGAGGTGGTGCGGAGACGGCGGCTGGGGCAGGAGTCAGCTGCCAGGAAAGCCCTCATTGCGAGCTCCTACTGCCCAGCACGGCCCGACCTCTACAGCACACTGCAGGTACCAGGCAGGGAGCTCGGGGCTGGTTCCTGGAAGAGGTGGGGTATGCAGGCCCCTGTAGCTGGTGTGTTTTCCCTAGGATGCAGCTTTGGCTCCTGAGTTTCTGGCTGCAGTTAAGTACAGTACGTCCCCGGGTGCAGACCTCTTGGGTCTCCTCCAGCGGCTGGAGATAGTGTCAGGTGAGGCCATGACCCCGAACCCCAGCAGGATTTGGGAGTGGCAGCCAGAGATGCCTGGGTATGGGAGATTTGGTATGTCTTCCCTCAAAAAACAAATTAGAGACTGGGTATGGTGTACATGCCTGTGATCCCAATACTGGGGAGGCTGAGGCAGGAGGATTCCTGAGAATTCAAGGCCAGCTTGGGCTACAAAGGGAGTTTAAGACCAGCCTGAACTGCTTAGGGAAACCCTATCTCAGAAAAACAAAACAAAACAAAACAAAACAAAACACCTGCAGCAGCTGGCAGGGCCAGTGACACAGCCTTCAAGCGACAGGGAGGGGCCCTGCAGTGAGAGCTGAAGGTCCTCCCATGCCTACTGTATTGACGAGCAGCAGGCTGGGCAGACGGAATGACTGAAGCCCAGGCCTGCTTGGCCCTACCTGAGCACCCAGCCCACTGTCCATCTGTCCCGTCACAGAGGAGAAGCGCATCTACCGGGTGCCTGTGTTCACAGTGTCCTTCTGCCAGGCCCTGCTGGAGGAGCTAGAGCACTTCGAACAGTCGGACATGCCCAGGGGAAGACCCAACACCATGAACAACTACGGGGTGGGTGAAGCGGGCTCTGTGTGCTGGGAGTGTGGGAGTGGCGGCGGCCGGGAGCTGTTGGGGTAGGGGTGCTGCAAAACTGAGCAGTGGCCTCAGGAAGAACAGTTCCCAGGGACGCAGGCAAGGCCCCAGAGGCCTCTCTGCTGACCCCAGGGCTACTCCCAGGTGCTGCTGCATGAGCTGGGCCTGGATGAGCCGCTGGTGACGCCGTTGCGGGAGCGCTTCCTGCAGCCCCTGATGGGCCTGCTGTACCCTGACTGTGGCGGGGCGGGGCTGGACAGCCATCGAGCCTTCGTGGTCAAGTATGCACCAGGCCAGGACCGGGAGCTGGGCTGCCACTATGATAATGCGGAGCTCACACTCAACGTGGCCCTGGGCAAGGCCTTCACAGGGGGTGCCCTGTACTTTGGGGGCCTCTTCCAGGTGAGCGTGTGAGCCCCATGGGCAGGGATGGGTACAGTACCCCGTGGGTACACAGGCCTGAGCCCTGCCAATGCTATGTGTAGACACCTGCAGCCCTGACACAGCCGCTGGAGGTGGAGCATGTGGTGGGCCATGGTGTCCTGCACCGGGGCGGCCAGCTACATGGGGCCCGTGCCCTGGGCACCGGCGAGCGCTGGAACCTGGTCATCTGGCTCCGGGCCTCAGCTGTGCGCAACCACCTCTGCCCCATGTGTTGCCGGAAGCCGGATCTTGTGGACGAGGCAGAGGGCTTTGGTGACGGCTTCACCCGGGAGGAGCTCCCCTCAGTGGACGTGTGCACGCTGACCTGAGCCTGGCCTGGCGCGGCAGTGGGGCTGGGGTGGCAGGGCAGGTGAGGCCTCTGTTGCCCTGGGCCCAGAGGGGCAGAATAAAGTCCCTGTTCCCTTCAGCCATGCTACTCAGTGGTCAGTGAGGTGCTCCAGCTTGTGGTCCTTGCTTGGCAGGCGGACTGGTCAGCACAGGCTCGCTGGCAGCAGAGCTTCTGTGTGCGTTTTACAGGATGAGTACTTTCTCCCGGGATGGGTGAGGAGCGGGGACTGCGGCCACTGCCCTGGCTCGCTCTTCCAAGTGCCGTAAGAATCCAATGAGCTCCTGCTAATAAATTGCTTTGTGAGAGCCTTCTGCGTGTGCTGTTGTAGTTACCGGCGAGTTTACAACGGGTGTGGGGGGCTCCAAAACTGGAGGAGGTGCGCCCAGTTTGGGGCTGCGCACTGAAGATGTGGGCATGTCCACTTTGACGGCGCAGAGATGGGAATGCCACCCGCCTTGTTCCCTGTTGCACGGTTCCCTGTTGCGGAAGCAGGCGGCAGGTTTCTGAGGGGTCCTGCCTTCCATGCAGTCACTGTCACCGCCTCTCTGGCCCCTCCGCAGTGCTTCGGTCGGGTTTGCGACCTGGAGACTGGGTGCTGTTGGAAAGACCTGGGCGTCTCAGCCCAGAGCTCCTGGGTTCGTGACCAGCTCGGGAGGGCGGCATCTTCCCTGGGATCAGGGAGAAGATGCGGGAGCCCAACCCCTGGAGGGGGGCGAGAACTTGAGGATCGGCTCGGAGAGGGAAACCCGGGTGCCCAGCTCGCCTCTGCAGGAAGGAGGCGCGGCAGAACCGAAGGCGGCGGGTCCCCGCTTGCCACCCGGACGGCTCCCGGTGCACCGCCCGGGCCGGAAGTGGCCTGACAGCACCTCGCTGCCGCTTACTCGCCGCGTGAAGCGCGGTGAGGGGCTGGCAGTCTGATCCGATTCTCGGCTGGAGCGAGTGCACAGCAGTCTTGGGGTCCTCCTTGAGGACGCAATAGTCCGGGCCACGAGCACGTCGGAAAGGCCTTGGGGTGACTCTCACCTGAGAGAGTAGGCGTCGGTCCCGGGCGCGGAGCGCGGTGCGCAGGCGCGGAGCTGGGTGAGAGGGCGGGCCCTTTAAAGGAGCCGCGGCGCGGGGGTCTTGGAGTCCGCGAAGTTGGACTTCTCCAGGGCAGGGGTGGAAGAGGATCGCCGCGTTCTCGGTGGTGACGGGTACCAGGCGCCCCGAGGACTGGCCCTTGGTTGCTGCCCCGGGCATTCACCCTGCGATCCGGCCTTTGGGGGTCGCGGAGCCAGCGCGTCCCGTTCCGTCCCCAGCTCGCGGCGCTATGGCTCCTGTCGCCTCTCGCAAGCGCTCGAGAAGCCGCAGCCAGTCCCGGGGACGAGGGTCGGAAAAAAGAAGGAAGAAAAGCAGTGGGGACGCTCGGAGAAACTGCGCCACCTCCGGATCCCAAGGTCGCAGGGCCAGCGCCGCCGAGGGGGCGGAGGGTGAGGTCCTCTGAGGGTAGGGAGGGGTGCGGGGCAACTCGGGGTGCAGTGTCGCCCAGATCAAAAGACCCACGGACAGGGCGGAGCTGAGCCCCTACTGGCCCACCGAGGCGCTCCCTGTGCAGACCTGAGGCTGCCGCAGGCCTGGACAAGGGGACAAATGTTTACTTCTTGCCCTCCCGGCCTTCCAGCCTCACCTTCTCCCTGCATCACAGAGAGAAGCAAGCACAAGGCCCGGAGGAGACCGCGATCCAGCTCCTCCTCCTCTTCTTCCAGTTCTTCCAGCTCCTCGTCCTCGTCCTCCTCCTCCTCCTCTTCCTCCAGCGATGGCCGAAAAAAGCGGGGGAAACACAAGGACAAGAAGAGAAAGAAGAAGAAGAAAAGGAAGAAGAAGCTGAAGAAAAAAGGCAAGGAGAAGACAGGGGTGCAGCCAGCTGAGGCTCTGCCTGGCCCCTCACTGGAACAGTGGCACCAGTCAGCCTGGGAGGAGGACAATGGCCCAGGTACGGCATGGCCACGCGCAGCGAGGAGCCCCACACCCCAGCCACCCAGCACCACCTCTGCCTTTCTTCCCTTCCAGTCCTGACGGATGAGCAGAAGTCCCGAATCCAGGCCATGAAGCCCATGACCAAGGAGGAGTGGGACGCCCGACAGAGCGTCATCCGCAGGGTGGTGGACCCTGAGACAGGACGCACCAGGTGGGGGGCGCTTGGCACAACCAGGCCCATAGGGGAGTGGGAGCCACAGCTGCCCCAGAAAGGCCCTGTGTGGGGCAGTGCGGTGGCCGCCAAGCCCAGTGCCCCCTGCCCCTGGTTCAGCCTGCCACGAGGAATGTACTCTCTGTCCACAGGCTCATTAAGGGAGATGGGGAGGTCCTGGAGGAAATCGTAACCAAAGAGCGCCATAGAGAGATCAATAAGGTTGGTGCTGCCCCGTTGCCCATGCCCCCCCCCATGCTGTTTTTGACACCCTCCCCCCCCTTTCTTTTGCTAGCAAGCCACCCGTGGAGATGGCCTGTCCTTCCAGATTCGAGCCGGACTGCTTCCCTGAGGCCCTGCTGGCAAGACCTGAAGATGGCCTATGGTGGGGTCCCGGGCCCCCATCTGGAGGAGTGCCCGCCACCTGGGTATTAAACATTGCTTAGCTGCAGACCGACTGTGTGTTCTGTTGCAGCATCTGTGCTGAGGGGAGGGACGAGCAGGGCCCCACTGGGCCGGGGCAGGTGCTGCTCCCCTTGCCAGGTGGGAAAGCGCAGTGTGCAGGCAGACCGAGAGTGAGTCCCCGTGTCCCCCACCCCGCTGGGCCACGGCTCTGTCTCCACCTTTCCTCAGACATGTCATGCAGGTAGGAGCCTGGGGCTCCTGATGTCTGTCTGTCCCCTGGAAAGCGGAGGCCGGCAGAGCACCTTGCATGAGTGTCCTGGCTCCACTGTGTGCAGTGCCTTGGTGGCCTGAGGGACTAGGCCAGCCCCACCATGGGTGCTCTGCAATAAAGAGACCAGAAGGAAGCCTTCCTGCTTCTTTAATCGGTGTAACAGACAGCGACGCTGAATACAGGCACACTCAGGCTGATGCCATGGGGACAGCATGGGAGGGACAGTCAGGAGACTGCTCACACGTGGCCAGAGACAGACAGCAGGGAGGACAGGGGAGGGCCGAGGCAGCGGGCGCTGGCAGGGTGTCCTGGGATCCCTCTAGAAATCAGAGACGGGCGCGAGGGGCTAAGGCTTCTACCCTAACAGGCCTGGGCGGGTGGCGTGGGCATGGCCTGCCTCACCCTTTGGTTACGGCTGGTCAGGCCTGGCCCTGCGGCTCAGCACCCAACGCTGTAAACATTTTTGGTATTTTTAAAGGACTCTGCCCTCCCTCTTGGTTCTGGAAACTGTGCTCCCTTAGGAGGAGAATGTGCCGAAAGGGACCTTACGGGAGGCAGGAAGCAGACCCGGAGGAGGAGAGACTGGGGGGGAGTGCCGTCTCACCGTCTATGGCTGAGGGCCCCGGGGGAGGCCCAGGGGACTATTGCTGTTGTCCTTGGCATGGCTGGCGGCTGGACAGGTGGGGGAGCCAAGAGCGGGGGGAGGGCTGCCCCCCGCAGAGGCCAGCCCACTGCCCGCTGCCCACTGGACCCCACGGCCAGGCCTCTAGCCTTTATTGCGGGTCTGCCGAGGCTCCAGGCACCCCTCCAGATGACTGGGCACCCAGGTAGAGGCCAGACTGGCAGTGGGGCCAGAAGAGGAGGTGGCGCTGGCCACAGGGTCCCTGGGCCAGGGCCATGATTGTCGGGCCAACCACTGCCCACTGGGGCGGAGGGGGCAGATATTGCACTTCCACTGCAACAGTTACCAGGGAACTTGGTCCATAGAATAATCGTTGCGTTATACGTAATGCCTGAAACAACACCAAAAAGCTACATCTTAAATAGGGTAAACCCTGAAGGTTCTGTCCCTCCAGACACTTTTCTCTACACAAAATAAATAGCTTTCCCTCTGCAGAGGCCCACTTCTGCAGGACATTTACATGGGCCCCCAGCTGTACATATCTACACGCGGGCAAGGAGTCAGCGCCAGCTTGTGCACCCCTGCTGGCCACACACCCCGAGGCTGCGACTGGGTTGGCAGCTTCCCAGAGACTGAGCCCCATCACCAGATATCGGGCCAAGGCCTGGCCCGGGCTCAGACCCGGCACAATGGGGGACAGCGTGTCCCCGGCCCAGTGAGGAGGGAGCTGTGGCCGCCTGCCCTTAAGCTAATGAAGCGAGCTGTGGCTTCTTAGATTCGCGTTGAAACGGAATTGGCATTAAAAAAATCTAAGTGTGCGCCCCACCCCCCAGTAGAAATTCAGTGGAATTGGCGGGGGTCAGGTGAGGCAGGGAGACCGAACCCCACCTAGTGGGCTGGGGCAAGGGCCCACGGGACCCAGAACCAGGCTGGACTCCGTCACAGTGCTGGGTGTTTAAAATGTGCAGGGGCTGCGCTTGTACTGAAAGAGTTAAGAAAAGGAAGCAGCCGAGGATCGCTCAGTTAAAAAAACCTCATAGAAATCAGACTGAGTAGAAAGGCCTAGAAACGCGGGCGGGCGGGAGGGCGGGCCTTGGCCGATGGCAGGTGAGGTGCAGAAGAGGTGGCCAGGCCCAAAGCCCCAGGGTGTTTGGGCTCTGGGTGTCACTGGCCTTACACCCAGGCTGTGTTCCCTGGGGCCAAAGATGCCACCAGGCCTGTGGCTGGCCAGGACTCCCGGCGGGGCAGGTGGAGGGTGGGCCGGGGCAGGGCTACAGAAATTAAATATGGCCTCTCTCCTGCTCGGATGAGGGTCTGCCGCACTGGAACCGTCTGTGCTGAGGTCCTGGTTCAGCAGTGCTGACCTCCATGCGTGTCACCCAGTCTGTAGCCTCAGGAGATGGAAACAGGTCTCCACTCTCACAAATCAGTGCAAAACCAGTGAGGTTGAACAGTTGAGAACTTGAGTCAACAAGAAGCAGGAGCCCTGCTGGAGCTGCTCCAGGTGGGAGGGCACGCGGGCGGGGACGGGAGGGTGGGCCGGAGGGGCCCACACCTGCACCAGGCGGCCAGGCCAGGGGAGCACCCCATCCCCCTGCCGCCCCATGCTGCTTGCTGTCCCACCGGGTCCAACAGCCAGACTCATCAGACCCTGGGGGCAGGGCTGGGAGCACTGGGTGTCGTGGCCCGTGTCTTCTGGGGGCACCGGGATGGTTTCCGGGCTATGTCAATGCTCGTGCTCAGGCTGGACCTTCAGATGGGTGGTGCCCTGGCCTAGCACCATGGAGACCACAGCACCCATGAACAGTGCCTACTTGGGGCCCGCAGCTGTGCCTGGCTCCAGCCGGCCAGCGATGGCCCGGCCCCAGCAGCTGGCCGCCATGCTCATGCTGCGCTGGCCCCGCTGCTCGCCCTCTGCCTGGCCCTGTGTCCGCTCAAGCCGGGGTCCAGGCCCACTGGGCTGGGCCGAGATGGTGCGGAGCAGGTGGTTCCGAGAGCGCAGGAAGTCGCCCTGGCTGGGGAGGCCGAAACTGCCCTTGCGCAGGGCCATTCGGGTGGCTGCGTTGCGGGCCGGCCGGGCCCGATGGTTGTACTTGAGCTGGGCCAGGTGGGCCGCGTAGCCATCCGTGATGAACTGCGGAGGTAGCGATGGGGTGCGATCAGGGCCTGGGATGCCCAGGGCTGCCCGCTGCGGCCCCGGGACTGAGGCCTGCTCACCTGGCACTGCTGCTGCAGCTTCTTGGTGGGCCGGCCCACGATGTAGATCTGCATGGGCGACAGGCTGATGGCGCTGTACACGGCCACATCCTTTGTGGAGCCGTAGGCCGCGTGCACGCGCAGGTGCAGCTGGGGGCAAGATGGGTGTGGGCATGGGGTGGGCCTCCTCTGCCACCCACCCTGCCCCTCCCCGCCCCACCCCGCACTGCACCCCACCTCGGAGATGAGCAGTTTCAGGAAGTTGGCCTTGTGCCGCAGCGGGTCATGCACCAGGCCGTCGCAGAAAGACACCACGCCATGGGGGAAGTTGTGCTGGGCCAGCCATGCCACCACCCGCTGCTTCTGCATGTCGGGCCGGCCCGTCACATAGATGATGAGGTAGCCCAGGTCTTGCCAGTGCCTGGGGGGAGGGCGGGCCCAGCATCGCACAGCTGCCCCCTCCCACCCGCTTTTCCTGCCCCCTGCAGAAAGGTGCACCTTTCACAGGCTCAACTGATGAGGGGGACCAGGAGGACAGTGATGGAGATGCTCCAAGGGCGCTGCCTGCCACGTCCGCAGTATCATCCTCCTGGGGTCCCACGGAGCTGGGACACTAAACTGTCGGGCTTGCACCTGTGTCCTTCAGGCCCAGATGCCAAGTGTTTCCCATCCCCGGCAGTACCAGGTCCCCTCACCTGGCCTGCCAGTGCCACCTGCCATGGAGTCCACCCATCTCATGATGACTGGCTACATGGTGCCTTCAGGACCACTCACCGTACCACGTCCACTGCCCCAGCTCGAACCTTGGGGTCACTGCCCATGATGGACACGCTGGCGGCGAAGGAGCCATCAATGCTGAAGACCACAAACTCTGTGCCCTTGGGCAGCACGGTGATGTAGCTGTCGGCAAACGTGTGGTCGCCCCTGGCCGCAGGGTCAGCTTGTCAGTGTCCACTGGGGCTCCTCCTCCTGCCCCCCACCAGCCTCGCTGCCCTGCACCCTCCTCCTGCCCCCAGCCCCACGTCACACCTGACCACCATCTTGACAGGATAAACGCCCACGCCCAGACGGTGCGCCTCAGGGATGGTGTAGGAGACGCGCCCACTGCTGTTGGTCACCAGTGTGTCCAGGTAGAGCCACTCGCCTGAGGGCGGCTGCAACATGATGTGCACGTCCACCTGGCATGGGGCAAGCCGTCACACATGGCCGGGCCTGGCTCCCACTCCCCGCTCCCTGCCCCATGTCCTCACTTTCTCTCCGGTGAGGGTGACCATGTCCAGAGGCCCATACATGAACCGGCCGGTCACGACCTGTGGGCCGTCCTCGTTGGCTACCGCATCATTGATCCGGTGGTTGGCCGTCACGTTCTGGAGACGGGAGTGGGGTCAGGTCAGAGTGGGCGGGGGCAGCTGTATCCTGCCCGGTGTGGCCAGTGGCTGCCTGGCCTTGGGCAAGGACATCACCCGGGGCTGTGGGTCCCAGCCTCAGACCCCTGCTGAACTGTGGCTGCTCCTCCAGACTCGGGCTTCTCCTGGGCTTCGTGTGGCGCCCGCCCTCACCCGAAGCTTCACGTGCGTCCGCTTGCGCTGCCACTTCTCTCTGGGCTGCGAGGGCGTGAACACTGACACCTCCTTGCCGTCCAGGTCCAGGATGCTGGCGCTGTCGTGTCTCATGACCTGGGGGTGAAGGTGGCCATGGGGCAGGTGCAGGCCCTGCCACCTGCTCCCTGCCTGCTGTGGACAGGTCCGTGGCCTGGGCAGCCAGCAAGGGGAGCCTGCGAGGTTTAGGGGCAAGGTTTAACCCACTGCTGCCTGATTTCCATTCGACTGCCCGTGCACCCTGTCCCTGCAGCCCTTAGTGTCCTAACAGGTCACACTGCCAGGCGCCTGCACCCTGCTTGCGCCCACTGTCTTATTTCCCTGGTGTCCCTGGGGCCCAGGTACCTGTCTCAGCAGGAAGGAGACCACGTCCGTGGACTCCCAGTAGCTGGCGTGGAAGAGGTGGGGCAGGGCCACGGTGGGAAAGGCCGTGAGGGCATCAGGGCAGTACAAGGCGTAGTCGATCCGCTTCTGGCCCCACCACTTGGCAGCAACTGTGGGGAGAAGGCCAGAGGCTGTCACTGTGCTGGGCTATTTGAGCCCCACAAGGGCCACCTGGCCTTCAGACCTGAGCAGTTAAGTTAGCCAACCTCCTCCGGGGTAGTGACTAGTCAGTGGCCACTGCAACTGTACTCGGGGAACCCACAGGACCCGTTGCACTGTCCTGGCTCCACACTACACACAGCCCGAGTGAGGAGGGCCCTGAGGTGCCCCTGTCCCGTCCGTCTCCCCCATGCTGCCCCCCCCGCTGCCACCACCCCCAGCTCCCCATTAGGCCCCAGCGGTGTGTGTGGAGAGACAGTGAAGTGTGCTTGGCAACGCAAGTGACCCCGAGTTAGAGAGGGCGCGTGTGTGGCAGGTACCGTCTCCGAGGTCCAGGCTGGGGAGGCAGGGAGCCCTTTCCAGGCTGGGGCTCGCCTTCCAGGCCCGGGGGTTGGGGCCAGGGGTGCTGGGGGCCGGGGAGGGCAGGGCCAGCAGGGACAGGCGCCTGACACTGGGGGTGTGGCTGAGCGTCGGGGCCTCTGAAGAGCAAGCACAGGTACCTGGCTCAGCCACACTGGACCGTGAGACAGAGCCAGGGCTGCGCATCTGCCAGGTCCCCTGGGGCCCTGCCTGCAACACATGCCATTACCCTGACTGCTGCTGGCTGCCGGGAGACCCGTGAGGGGACCGAGGCCCTCCACTGCTGCTTTTCCCTAGAGGCCTCGTCTGGGCACAGCCCCTGGAGTGCCACCCGCACAGCCTCCCCAGTGGTGGCTGCTAAGGATGCTCTGGACCAGGCCATCTGTCCCTGAGGGCGTGGTGGCCCCAATGGAGGCCAAACTCACTCTGGGCAATGCTGGACGCAGTGCAGCTCTCAGCCATGCCTGACACCTGGCTGGCGATGCTGATCTCGCTAGCTCTACGGAAGCCTCGGCTGGTGGGGGCCATGCCAGGAGACGAGGGGGCTGTGTGCTCCTGGAAGACGGCGCTGTGGGTCTGGAGCGTGTCCGCTGCAGGCACACAGGGACAGAGGCTGGTTAGGGAGGCCCGCCTGACCCCATCCCCCAGCAGTGGGACAGCCAGCATGTGCCTTAGCTGGGGCAGGCAGGGGCTCAGCTTTGTCAGGGCCTGTGGCTCAGGGCTGCGAGGGTGAAGGGCCTGGAGCTGTGGCAGGGGAGGACAGACAGACAGACACACAGACATGGGGAGGCGAGGCACCCTCCCCCCATGCAAGGCTCTTGGCCGTCTCTGCAGCCCCAGCAGCACTGGGCCTGTGGGCTTCCCCAGCCCAGCTGACACCTGGCTGTCCACCCTGGGTGTGAGGGCAGTGACAGTGGGGACGTTGGGTGGCTCCTAGGATGCCCCACACATGACAGGTGTCTGTCACCAAGGGCATCTGGGGACAAAGCCGTGCCAAGGACAGGACGGAGAAGGGAGAAGCAAGCAGCATGGAGGTACAGGGGGCTCGGCATCCTCAAGGAGGGAACCCCCAAATCCTGCCCCTGCTGGGGGAGCAGGGCTGCAGCGGGCTGAGACCTCCCCATCTCCTCTCTGCTCCTGCGAGCCGCGAGGAGAAAGGACAGCACTTGGGACTCTCACCATCAGCAGTGTGACCCTGGGTCAGCCCTGCTGTCTCTGGGCTGTTTCGGGTCCCCCCAGCCTCTGGCCTCAAGGTGCACAGAGGAGGCACAACTGGGCCTTCCTGCCTGTGCTTTGTCCCTGCCACTGAACTCCCAACTCCCAGTGGCCAAAGAGGGTGCAAAGGGAGGAGGCGCAGGACGGGGTGACAGCTAAGCAGACACCACCACGAGGGGGGTACACACACTCAGCACAGCCTGTGCTCTGGCGGGGCCCATCCTGCCCGGCGGGTGCAGGAACGGGGATGCTGGTCTCCAGGAAGCTGTCCCCGGGGGGCAGCGGGGCCGGGGGGCCTCCCTCCAGGACCAGCTCGGGGTTTCTCTGCATGGTCTCCACTGGAGGGGATGGGAAGAACAGAGAGGAGGAGAGCAGACACTCACATGGCTGCAGACACCACCACACAGACCGGGGCTTCTGGAGGACCAGGACTCACAAGACGCGGGACACGCTGGGGCTGGAGGTGCCACCACCCACATGCCCACTTGTGGTGCCCCCCATCCCTGGCCAGCCACCTGCTATGGGCCCCACAGTGCCCTGACTTCCTGAGGCCTCTCTCAGGACCTTAGCTTTGTGCTCAGTGGGCGGAGAATGTGTGCCTCTGTCAGTCCCTGGGGCAGCAGGGTGCAGCCTTGGTTAGGACAGGGCACCGCCCTCAGAGCCGTCCCCACCCGGTGCAGCGGTGCTCACCCAGCAGCGTGGAGGAGCCGTCCCCCAGCGGGTAGCGCTGGTATCGGGGGATGCTGAAGGGTGGCAGCGCGTGGAAGCGCCGCTCCAGCAGTGGCTCCAGACGCGAGGCGGAGGGGTCCGCGGGGTGGAAGAGGTTGTAGACTTGCTGGCAGGCCGGCCGCAGCTGGAAAACTGCGGGGAGTGGGGAGTTGCAGGGAGGGCACCTGCTTCTGCTGTGTGTCTCCATCAATTTGGGGTCGGTTTGGGTGGCTGCCCTTTTATTAGTCAAGACAATTTCTTTTCTTTTTCTGAGCTAGGGACGGAACACAGGACCCTGTGCGTGCTAGTCAAGGAAGCCACCCCCGAGCCACACCCCCAGCCCTGTTTATTTTTTATTTTTATTTTTTGATAACGAGATCGAACTCATGACCTTGAGCTTGCCCGGCAGGCGCTTGTGCCGCTGAGCTAAATCCCCGGCCCTATTTTTTATTTTGAGATAGGGTCCAAGTTGCCCAGGCTGGTCTCCAACTCAGAATACTCCTGCTTTAGCCTCCTGAATTGCTAGGATTTCAGGCATGTGCCCTGACCATACTTTCTGGACTTTGCTCTCTGCTTCCCGAAACACAAAAAATGTTGGAGTTTTCACATCAGCATGTGCCTTTCGCATGGGGGCAGGCTGTTCTGCCTGTGGCTGTCCCTAGATCCTGCACACATGTGCAGGACTGTGGTTCTGGGATGGTTCTGAAGCGAGGCTGGTGCCTCTGCCTTCCCAGTGGCTGGCTGCCCCTCCTGGCTGTGGGCCGCGGGCACCGGCTTGCCCCGTGGAGTGGGGTGCTGAGGTCAGGGCCTGCAGTTTTAGCCCAGCATGGAGGCTCACTGCTCATGCAGCTAAGCCTCTGTGGGCCTCAGTTTCCCCTTCGCAGTTTGAGAGGTGAGGGCAGCCGTGCAGACTGTGGGTAATCCGGAGCAAGCATAGGTGCCCACTCTCCCCTGTGGGAGAGGCCCTCTCATGGGGAGCCAGGCTCTGTCCCCACTGACACCTCTGCTGCCCCAGCCCCTGTGCTCCCCCGCCCTAGAGAGGGAGCCAGGCAGCTGCTGTCAGGATAGGGCCAGGGCCAGGGCCGAACACCAGCGCAGAAGAGGGCAGGGACGCTGGAAGGGCCCAGGCTGTGACCAGGGCCTTGTGGAGGGGGCTCAGGGACTCTGCAGGGCTCTCACCGTCCAGGGAGGGAATGACTGTTTTCCTCAAGGCCAGGACCAGCCCCAGCGGGCACCCGAAGAGGAAGAGGTCGGCGATCTCAAAGTCAAACCTGCCCAGGGCTGCGGCACCATCCAGCACAGGGGAGCTGCTCGAGCGGCGGGAGCTGGGCTCATTCCTCAGCACGCTGGCATGGAGGCTGTAGGGGGACGCCAGCGGTCACCTCGGCCCTTCCTGACCTTATGGGGGACAGGACAGGGCTGATGGCTCCTTGGGGTTTGACCCTGTGCTGTTCTGACAGTGCAGCTTCCCCACACCGGCTAGAGTATTTTTAGCAACAGCAGGCCACAGTGCTGTCACAGAGCCTGTCACCTTGGGGACTGGCATCATGCTGCCCATCACTTCTGCCCCTGAATCAGCCATGTCCGATGCCCACCTTCAGAGCAACTTGTTTCCTGTGGCTCCAGGTGACAGTGGTGCAAACCATGGCTGTGACAAGCAGGGGAGCCCCAAAGAAAACACCTGGCAGAGACCCCGAGACTTCGTGCTGAAGACGGGCATGTGGGTGGTGGAGGAGCTGCCCGGCCCCCAGTGTCTGCTGTGGCCCTGTCCCGTAGTACCTCCCTTGCCTGGGCCAGCCGAGCCTCACCTGGAGAGGAAGGCCTGGTGCTGCCGGATGGTGTCCAGCTCATAGGTGGACGAGTCGCTCCTCTTGCGAGGCAGCTGCCTCTTGGGGTCCTCAGGGCCGTCACTGTGCGGGATGTCAATGTTGCTGCGACTCAGGTGCCGGCTGCCTTCCAGGCTGGAGCCGCCACTGCCGGTGCCAGAGCCAGGAGCTGTGTTCACCAGGGTTCCCGGGGACAGCAGCTCAGCATCCTGCAATGGCCCAAGGAGGCTCAGGCCTGGGCGACCTGGCCCTGGCCACGTTTCAGCATCCAGGGAGCTGGCTCAGCCGCCTGAGCCAGGCCCCTGGCGCTGTCCCGCCACCACCCTGGACTGTGGCCATCTTCTCACTGCTGGCTGCTCTGCCCCAGAGACCTTGGTTCTCCCTCCTGGGAAGTGGAGGGAGCCCGAAGGTCACACCCCTAGGACCACAGCCTCCTGGGCCCCGCAAGGCCACGGCTCTCCCAGGCTCAGCTGTGCCACAGTGGTTCTCAGCCCCATGCAGCTGCCCTGCCATCTCTGGGCATCAGCACTGGAAACCTGTGCCCCCCTGTCCTTCCCCTAAGAGTTGTGGATTCCGAGAAACACTCCCCTGGCTATTTTGGGGTCTCTTCAGCCCCCCACTCCTCTCCCCCGCCCCTGTCGTGACCAGCCCTGGCGATGTCCTGTGCCTGGGCCATGGAGGCCTCAGGGTTCAGACATTTGCTTAGTGACTGGAAGAAACAGAGCCCGCAGCACAGTCTTGAGCAGCTGGCCTCGGGGCCTTTGCGGGGCACTGTCCTAGTGAAGACAGCAAAGGTTGGGCCCCAGCCGGTACCTGCACGCTGACCACGCTGCCCCGGCGGCTGCTGCTCTGGCTCTCGGACACCGGCTGGCTGCTGTAGCACAAGGCATCGAATGCCAGGACACCCCCGACACAGTCCCCGATCAGGCAGACCTGGAGGCAGGGGCCGGGGCCTGAGTGTCGGCCTGTTCCCTCGGGAGCTGCAGGCTGGGGCAGGGGGTCCCCGCCCTCTGGCCAGCCCACCCCCCAGGCCTGCCCCTCACCTGTCCATTGAAGGGCACGCCGTCCTGGGACCTGATGAAGTCCCCATAGGCCAGGTTGGCCCGCTGGATCACCGTGGCAACTGCCTCCTGGTACTGGGGCGAGGAGGTGGCCAGCAGTGGCAGGGCGGCCAGGGGAATGTGGTCCTGACTGCTGGACAGACAGCCCTCGTCGTGGCTGTAGGGGCTGAGGCTGGGGGCAAGGGCTGGGTTAGAAAGGACAGGCGCCTCTGCTCGGTCCTCCCTCGCCTGGGCAGCAGGGCAGACAGCTGCCTGCCCCAAGGACTCAGGGAGGGTGACGTTCTCAGGCCAGGCACTAAGTAAGGTGGTGGGGGCCCAGGGTCACTGAGCAGACCTGAGGCCCACAGTGTCCCCTAACCAGAACTGGAAACAGCCTCCACCTGTGGCCCCCACCCCTACCCGGTGCCTAAGCTCAGTCCGTTTGCAGAGGGGTTGAGTGGCACAGCAGGACACCTGGACAGAAGCCCTGACACTGGGGACACTTGTGTGCGGGGAGGGAGGGGGCCAGTGTGCTGTTCCCCCTCCCCACAGGCAAATGCCACTCACTTGGAGACAAGGGCGAAGGCGTCGGCGCAGACGGGCGGGCAGGGCACCAGGCGGACAGCGAGGTGGCCCAGGGCGCTGGGGTAGTGCACGCGCATGACGGTGTCGAACACATTGGCGATGGTATTGGCGTCGCCCTGCTTGGAACTGGGGTCACTGGCGCCTGTGTCCAGAATGGTGCCTCCGTGCAGCACCAGCAGCAGCACGTGGATCGTGGAGGGCGGCACAGCCAGTGGCTGGCTGGCCTCGTCCTGCGTGGGTGGGGCGGGTGTCAGCTCTTTGCCAGGCTCCCACAACCCCTGCGAGGCTGTCTCAGTCCAGTTACTCCCCAAGAGTCACCCAGCCCAGGGGCCAGGGGTTCTGTGCCTCTGCCTCTCTCTCAGAGCCTGGCGGAGCAGGGAGGTCTGATCAGGAAACAGAGGCCTCGATGTGGGATCCGAGCCTGCAAAAGCACGGAGCCCGCTTCCTTCAGGGGCCTGGCAGCAGCTTCTGTTTATGCTCAGGTTTAGCCTGGCCCGGCCTCTGTGGCCTGCTTCCCAATGGGTTGGTCTTGGGCCAAGCTGTCAGGGCCACCTCAGGCTCAGAGTTACAGGGTCACTTAGGAGTAGCTGTGGTCAGGGGAGCACCTGAGCTCTCCTCCCCCTACCTACAGCCTTCGATGCTGTCCCCCAGGCCTCTGGGCCTGCCATTCTTGGAATCTCTCCAAGACCAAAGTCCCCAAGAGCACAGACACAGAGGCAGAGCCAGGGCCCAGCACCTGCCATCAGAACAGGCCGCTCATGAGGTCAAGATGAGACCTTGGACTGCACACCATGCCCTGGGGCCCAGCGCTGCAACTGTGGGAGATGTGGTAGTGGGCTGGGGCCAGGTCTGGGCGCTGGTCTAATGTCACATGTTGAGCCAGAGCCCCTAGGACGCTCAGCACTCTCCTGCCAGCTGGTTGTGTCCCTATGCACAGTGGCCTCCCTCTGCCTCATCCCCGGCTTTCAGAGTGTGGTGGGGTTGCTGCTCCGCCCTGTCATGCCCGGCGGTGTGCTGGAGGGATGGGAAGGGGCCATGGGGAGGCCCCAGGGCTCCCTTTCTACCCCGCTCCCCAGCAGGGGGAATAGTCAGACAGCCTTGTGAGATTCCCTGGATAGCATGGTAAACGGCCATGGAACAAAGGCCCTGTCCTCCGGATAGGAGGTGGAGGCCAGTAGTCCTTGTCACCTGGAGATAGCAATGCTGTGGGGCCTGAGAATTCTACATGTGCCTGTGTGGCTGGGCCCCTGGGGACCCCCAAAATACAACCTCTTCACACTTGGCCTGAGACAGGAACCTCTGTCCTGCACCTTGGGGATAGCAGCGTCCACACGGGTCATGGGTGGCTCTGGAGAGCCAGGACTTTCCCCCCTTTGGTGTCCCCACAAAACCATCCTCTTTTCATGAGGTAAGGTCTGGTATGGGGGCCAATGCAGCAGAGGTACCCCGGAGCTAGTGTTGGGCTCAGAAGGCACACCTTGAGGCACTGCCGACCAGCGCTGCGTGCACTGTGGGGTAGGGGCAGCTGGAATCACACCCCACCCATCACCCTGTCTACAATAGCTCCTTTGACCTCAGACCTCAAATAGAAAATCCAGGAGGAGGAGAGGTGTGGATGCTCCCTCAACCCGACCCCCCAGGGGAACGCAGGTCCCACAGCAATGCCGCCTCCACCTCAGGAAGCCTGGGACGGAGCTGAGCGGACCGTGGTGTGGAACAGTGCAGCTGGCCTGGCCCCTGTCCCGTGCAAACACCTCAGAGTACTGTGGGCAGCGGAGGGTGCGAAAGCTCGGGCAAAGAACCCCGAAGCGGACACAGGCTCCACAAAGACAGCTTTATTGGCCCTGCCTGACCCCCGTGGGGCTGCCTTGCAGGCCACGGCCACATCACGTCTGCCTAGACGGCTCCTGCTTCCTCCCCTTCCTTCCTTTCCTCTTCAGCCACAGCAGGGCCGGCCACAAGGTGAAGAGCTCACTTTTGGCCTGGAATTTACAAGCGTCGAATTTTACTTCCCCACAGTGGAGCTTGCTCGAGGCCTTCCTTGGGGCTGCCTGCCATCTCTAGCCCCAGGGACCCCACAGGGAGGGCGGCACAGCAAGGACAGGAGGCCCAGGCCTCTTTCTTTGGGCGTCGCCCTAGCCAAGCATCAGCACAAGGCCGCGGTGGACAGTTTGGGGCCCGTCCCTTGGAGCTCCGTGCCCTCCCCGGCACAGCCCTGTGCCCAGCACTGAACCCACCTCGATGATGTTCAGCTGCTCCACGCTGGAGGCCACCCTGAACTCGGGGCCACTCGGCCGGTACAGACTGTCTGCAAGGAGAAGCAATGCTGTGAATTGGTGCCGCTGGGGAGCACCAAAGGGGAGGCTCCCCAAGCCCCAGAGCACTGGGTGCCATGCAGCCCTGGGGTACTTACCCTGTGTGTCCTCCAGCTCTGGGCTCTCCATTTTGTCCATGAGGTCGTTGGAGTTCCACTTGGTGATGTCCTTGGGGAACATGTCCTCAGAGTCAGACAGGTCCTCTGGGGAGGACAGGGACCTCAGCAGGATGTGGGGGCCACGGAGAAGCCCCTGCTCCTTGGGCCTACACACCCCTCTCTCTCTCCTTGCTTCACAGATGGCCATGTGCCACGGCCTTTGTTTTTAAATTGTGGTAACAAACTGGATGCTGGGACTGTCCTAAAGTGGCCATCAGATCTTCACAATGCTGTGCTAGGTCACCGATGTCCAGGTCCACCACACTCCTACGACTCTAAGCCATCTGTCCTCAGCCCTGCCTCCTGGCCCCGGTCAGCCACCTGCTTCCTTTCTCTGGGCCTCTGCCTGTTTTGGGTATTTCTCGGTGAGATTTTTTCTGTATTTTGAGACAGGGTCTTGCCATGCAGGTTCAGGCTGGCTTTGACCTCACTTTGTAGCCCAGGTTGGCCTTAAACTTGCAACAATTCTCCTGCCTCATCTTCCCAGTGCTGGGATTACACGCATGTGCCATCATACCCAGCTGGCTTGGGTGTTTTTTTTTTTGTCTTTTTGAGACAAGGTTTTACTATGCAGTTCAGGCTGCCTTGAACTCACTTTGTAGCCCAGGCTGGTCTTGAACTCACAAGGATCCTCCTGCCTCAGCCTCCCGAGTGCTGGGATTACAGGCGTGTGCCACCACGCCCGGCTTGGGTTAGGTATTTCTTATCAACACAAATCTGCCAGGCATGGTGTACATGCCTATCCAGCACTGAGGAGGCCGAGGCTGGAGGATCCCTGTGAGTTCAGGGCAGCCTGAACTACATAGCAAGAAAAAAAGAAACAAAAAGAAACCAGTACTTGGTCTTTAATGACTGGCTTTCTTCACGTAGGGTCATGTTTTCAAGCTTTATCCACATTATACAGTATGTCAGTGCTCTTTTATTTATTAGCTTATACAGTATGCACACATGCACACACATATATTTTATAATAATAAATTAATACATATACACACTTTCTTCTCAGTCCTGGGGACTGAACCCAAGGCCTCTCCACTGCGCTACAGCCCTGGCCCATTTTAGATATGTATTTATGTCCTGAGGCAGGATCTCACTAAACTGCTCAGGATGGGCTTGAACTGGCCTCAGCCCCCAGGGCACCCACCACCCCTGAGCGGATCTCTTTAGCTTCTGCTGAGTGCACCTCGGTGAGGAGTGCTGCCCCAGACCCTTGTTCCTGGTGTTCTGGACCGCCCAGTAGGGTGAGGCCGCTGCCCCGCTCAGTCTCCGCTTGCCCTCCTCTCCCGGCAGGACGGGTGCCTGGGCCTGCTGCCCCACTGCTGTCCGGTCTCTCTCTTGATGTTTTCTGCAGTAGATGAGCACTTTCCTCTTGTGGGGACGAGGAGCAGGCCTCCCTTCCCTGCCCTCCGCAAGGTCCCTGCTGCATAGCTCCCTGGTGGTCTGGAGTCACCTGGCCCCAGGGAAAATCAGGCATCTCCCTTGCGTCTGTGTGTGGACTCCCCCAGCTTCTTCCCTTGTGGCTGCTCTGTCCTTCCAAGCTTGGTGGCAGCAAGGAGCTCCACTGTGCCAGCCCCTCCCTCTCACCGTGCACAGGTGGTGACTAGGCCCTACTTCTGGCAGCCTGCAGAAGGGACCTGCCCACCGTGCTGCGCCTGGACCCGGTCCCTCCTGGTGTCCCCAGCACAGGGGAGGTGATGGCTGTGGTGCATTGACTGGCCTTATTTTGGGAGTAGTGGGAAATGGGCACTCAAAGATTTCTGCTGATTGTATTTTTTTTTTTTTTGGTACTGGGGATCAAACTCATGACCTCGTGCTTGCCAGGCAGGCGCTTGTGCCATTGAGCTAAATCCCCAGTCCTGCTTACTGCATTTTCTCAAGTGCCGACATTAAACACACAATCTAGTTTGCATTTGCTATATTAATCAAGCAACTGACACGTGTACAAAAGAAAGGAAGCCAAGAAATTCAGAACACTGTGAATTCGATTCCTCATGGAAATAAATTCACATATGGAAAAACAATTCTTCTTGGGGGGGATTTAAGCAAGCACCTGTCTGGCCTGCAGCACCTTCTGACTTCTGGTTAGGATGACCACAGACCCAGGCTTGAGGTGACCAGCCTGAGTGATACGTTCTCCTCCTCTGTGTGCCAGCCCCATGCCCCACGCTGTCCCCTGGCCCCGCCCAGTACAGGCTGCCTTTCCCCAGCTGCTGTGGGGCCTGCTGCCTACCATGGGCATCGAAGAATTCATCGTCCGAGCTCTCATCAGAGTCCCTGGCAATGCTCTGCATCCTCCACTCCGAGATGCTGTGGCGGGAAGGACTGGCTGGAAGGCAAAAGCCCAGACTGATGGCCTGCCGGCGGGTAAGGCCCAGCACTGCTCAACTGGCCTTGGTGGCAGGGGGCAATGGGCAGCCTCAGAGCTCCTCAGCCACTGGGAGCTGGGAGGCTTGGCCAGAGACCATGGGGCCGTGGGGTGGGTGGGGTGCCGGGTTCATCTCTGCAGAAGCTCATGGCTCCTTCTAGAGCGTCCCTCCTGCTGCCGCCTACCCGACCCAGGGCAGTCGTGCTGGGGGCTGGGGGTAGGAGGGCACAAGGCTGGGACGTGAGCTTAGAGGATCTGGGTTCCGAGCACCAGTGAGTCCCTTCAGCTCTGCCACAGCAGAGTCACAGCAGGTTGCGGGGCAGACGAAAAGATGAGTGCCCGGGCAGCACCTCCCACGGCTGCACCCTGGAGTCCTGCTTCACCCCCTGGCTTAGGACCTGATGCCTGGCAGGCGGCATCGGGCCACCTCGGGGTCAGGGATCTCCCCTGGGCCCTGCAAGTGAGTCTGGGGGGCCACTGAGTAGGGGTCTGGGCTTAACCTGGCATAGCTAGAGAAGAGGGCCCCGCACCCCACAGGCTCAGCTCAGTGTTGCCCACGGGGAAGAGGCATCCACAGAGGGCCAGGGCCCAGCGCACAGGGGCCACCTGGAGAAAGGGGGGAGCAGACCCTGGCTGGAGCTCACCTCCCCGCTTGGACGACCGAGAGGACTTGGAGGATGTGGACCACTGCTTCTTCAACCCCCGCCCCACCAGGGGCTCCCCATTGCTGCTGCTGGGCTCAGGGGGTGGCCCCGATGCCTGGTCTTGGTCGGCTATGTCCTTTGTGAGCTCCGCGCCTGCCTCGTCCTCACTGAACTGGGCCATCTTGCGGGACAACATGAGCTGCGCCTCCCTCTCGAGCTCCCGGATATTCTCCATGCTTAGCCCGTGCCATTCGTCCTGCCAGCACCAGGCCTGCCGGTGGGCCCGCACCATCACCCGCCGCAGGCCTGCAGACAGGAGGAGACTGGGCTCAGCTTCCAGCCTGGGGTGGCCGTGCCTCAGTTTTCCTGTGGTGAGGCTGGGGACTGATGCCTAGACTTTCTCTCCAGTGAGAGGGGTGGGACCTCCTAGGTGATGTGCCTGGCCAGATGCATAAGACATCCCAAGAATCTTGGGGTCTGGTCTACTATTCCTGTTCTAACCCATGGAAAATCAAATTCACGTTCATAATGACTTGGTTTTCTTTCTCTTTTTTTAGGTACCAGGGATCAAACTCATAACCTCATGCTTGCCAGGCAGGCACTTACACCACTAAGCTAAATCCCCAGCCCCTGTGGTCTTTTTTCTTTAAAAATGCTTTTAACAAAAAATAGTACACAAAAAAACAAATGAAAACAAAACAAACAAACAAAAAAGAAAATAGTACACAGATGATATAGTGCCTAGGCATGGTGGCATACAAGTGTTACCCTACTCCTCTGGGAGACTAAGGCAGGAGAAGCTTGAGCCCAGCCTGGAGAACTTACCAACTTACCAACTATCTCAAAATTTAAAAACAAATTAATATGAAAATGGCTAAAGATGTAGCTCAGTGCAAAAGCCCTGGGTTCAATCTCCAGTACCAACAAAATGAAACCCAGCAAAAACCACCAAACAAAGAAGGAGAAAAGAATAGAATGTTATACATCTTGAGTAAGATGAAGTAGGACTTTGTAAAGAAGAGCAAAGAGACTCCAGAGACAGACAGCAGCTTCAGGTGGCATTGCCAGGGCAGGAGAGGGGTGACGCAGAGGGAACAGAGGCCCTGGGTGGTGACCCTCCGAAGGTGAGACAGGAGGGGCAGAGGAGCTGCGGTGGCCCCTTGATACCGCCTGCCTGCCTGCCTGCCTGCCATGGACCTTTTCTCCTCCACAGTGCTGCCTTGCCTTGATCCAACCAAGTAGGTACCGCAATCTCCACAAACTGCGAGCTAAATAAACCTTCCTCCCTTAACTTTGGGGGTTGGGTATTATCTCTTAGCAATGAGCAAAGCACTAAGACGATGTATTTTCCACACTATCCGTTGGAGAGGTTGGGCTGGCGTAGAAGCTTACACATGTCACGCTGTGTATTTTTCTGCCGCTCTCTTCTCTTGCTGAGTTTTAATTCATCTACACTCCGGTGGGACTCTAGAGCATCGAGTCTGCTGCTGCCTGGATTCACGTTTAGAGCACCACATTTATTGATTTCTTGTCCTGCCAGTGTCCCTGTCCAAGCCCTGGGTGGCCTGCCTGCGGGCCTCATGGGGTTGCTCCAAGCTGTACAGGAAAAAGCTGCTTTTTGGGTGCTGGAAGGGCTGGGACACAGCAGCCACGCATTTGAGGTCAGGCAGCCACGGGGACACCCAAGACCTGTGCCAACCCCTGGGATGTGACCTTGGGCCGTGACCTGCTTTGGTTCTGCATCCTGTGGTCTCATCCTACACCAGCCCCGTAAGTCTGCAGTTAGTACACCCATTTCTCAGCTGAGGGCAGCGAGGCTCGGCACAGAGGAGCACAGCTGCCTCATGGCAGATCCACAAGTGGACCATCCTCCTTCCTGAGGGCAGAGCTGTCTCAGTGGCTGGGGGCCTTTGCAGTCTGGAAGGATCTGAGCCCAGGTACCATTGCTTCCTGGGGATTTATGGGGTCTTTACTGGGCTGACCCCAGAGAAGCGGCCACACTCAAATTCCTGGAGGTGCAGGGAGGGCAGGCCCTGGCCAGTCCACTCATATATTCTCTTGTCCTTTCGTCCCCTGGGGGGTGGGGACATCTACTCCTGTCTTAAAAAGTGCAGACAACACCCAGGAGGGTGATGGCCAGGCTGGAAGCAGGTCTGACTGACAATCGGGCTGCCTCCAGGGCGCCATCCTGCCTGCCCCGGATCTCAGAGGTGGGTACGTGGGTCCCAGCGTGTGAGCTCTAGGGAATGGGGAGGCTGTTTAGGACAATCTCCGCTCTGCAGGGTCAGACAGAGTGTCTGGGATGGGACATCTTCCTCCCCCTCCTGGCACCTCCCACCCCTGGCTCATGGCCACAGCAAGGGAGCTGTGGACGATGTGACCGAGATGCTGCCTTGGGGTAGAGCTGGTGATGCTGTCACACACCCTCAAGACCCTGCCACATCACATTTTATCAACCCTTCACTCTCGGGCTCAGCTGTACATGAGGACCCTTCCCTTGGGGACGGACAGACTGACACTGCTGGTGTGGAGGATGTCTGTTCCAGTTTGCACCCAGGCCTGTCTGTTTCCTCTATAAGCAACCTGCCACCACCTACCCTCCTGGGTCATCTGGAGGTAACAGTGGAGAAGCCTGGGATCTACAGAGTGACTCTGCTCCACCGTGATGCCTGAGACCAGCTGTGTCTGACCTCTGCCCGGGGGTCAGGGCTCCAGGCCGGAGGTGGCGCCCCCAACTACCTTCTTGGCAGATACGAGGGATGCTACAGTGCCTGAGCCTCTCTCCACCTCTCTGCCTAGCAGTGGAGGCAGAGCTGCAGCTGCAGTGTGCAGCCTGGGCCTCCTAGGGGAGAGCAAAGAAAGGGCTGCCATCCCCAGGGTCTGCCCGCCAGAGTGGGCCAAGATAAACCGGGGAGCGGGCTGGCTCGGGGTCCCCTCTCAGAAACCAAAGGGAAGCACGGGGAGGAAAGGCAGGCGCACGCACCAGTGTCGTGGATGAAGCGCTCGATCTTGGACTGCATGCCCCAGTAGCGGAACTCCACCTTGCACAGCTTGTAGGCACACATGACGGGCAGGAGCCGCCTCTTGTACTCCTCGATCCAGTTGTCGGACAGGGGCCCCCGGTGGGTCTTGATGGACTGGAACAGTCGGGGGTCCTCTTCTGTCTTATACTCGTGGGGGGGCACAGGATCCTTGACGATGTCGATAATGTCTGCAGGGAGGCCCTGTGAGTGGCCACGTCTGCCAACCTCCTCCTCACCCCTCCCAAGTGCCCCCGAGTCCTCGCAGGGCTCAGGGCAGTACCATGTGGACAGGATAGTGCTGGGGAGTGAGGTGGCTCCCTGGGCAGGGGCCCAAACTATTCCAAGTCAGCTCCCGGTCTGGGCACAGTCCAGAGCTTGGCAAGCTGGTGAGGGAGGGCAGGAGACGCTGGGGAGGTGAGGTGTTGGAAGGTGGGTGGGGCTGGGTCGGAAAAGTGTCCCAGGAGAGGTGGTGTTTCAGCTGCAGGAGAAGAACTGGTGCTGGACAGAGGGGGTCTCCTGGGAAGCACCAGGCGTCCACATGGGGAGGTGGTAGCTGCAGTGACAGGGATGCAGCCAGACATGCTGGATGCTGCCTATGAAACTAGTGCTGGGGACCTGGGCACAGGACTCATGCTGGGAGAGCCTTGCAGGCTGATCTGCTTGCAAACCCGTCCCGGGCAGCGGAGACTGGAAAGCTGTGTGCACGCTGAGGTTTTGTTTGACTGGCGTAAGTTTAGTTACCTAGATTTTTAATCAGCTGCCAACATTTAGGAATTGGAAGATTTTGATGCTGAACTTAGTACGGACTCCCGATCAGCACAGCGCACTGCAGCCCAGAACTCCTGGACTCAAAGCGATCCTCCCACCTCAGCCTCCCGAGTAGCTGGGGCTGAGTAGCTGGGAAGATTTCACATGAAAATCTTGGTTTTCAGGTTTCCTTCAAAAAGAGTTGACAAGCTGGTGGTGTATGCCTGCAATCCCAACACTTGGGAGGCAGAGGCAGGAGGATCGCAAGTTTGAGGCCAGCCTCAGCAATTTAGTAAGACTTTGTCTCAAAAAGTAAAATAAAATAAATAAGAGGGCTGGGATGTCTCAGAGGTGCTCCTGGGTTTGATTAATTCCCAGTTCCAAAGTTAAAAAAGGACTGAACAGATGGGGTCTGCTTCTGCTCAGCAGCACGAGCTAGCAGGGTGGGAAGTGGAGGCCACCACCATCGGGGACACAGGCCTATTCTCAGGGGAGGCTGTCAGCTAGAGAAGCCTCCTGAGAGCACATGACCCAGCACACATGTGCAGCTCTGAGGGATGGGCTCCTGTGAGACATACTTCAGGAGATGGGATGGGCAGAGGACGCTGCCCGCTCACCTGTTGTCAGCTGGCTCTTCTCCACGGGAGACAGGCTGAACACATCGGGGCTGTCCCCGGCATCGGTTTTATAAAAGGTTTCGATGTCGATGGAGAACTTCTCCACAAAAGGGCAGGTGAACCTAAGGGAAGAGGAGCACCTGTCAGGACTGCAGCCTGGCTGGCAGAAGCCCCAGGGTGGGAGTGAAGTGGGGTGGCTGAGACCCAAGGAGCCATCAACCCCTGACCATCACGCTGTCCCGAGAACAGCCGGGCCAGAGTGGGGAAGGGCAGTGTGAGGAGGAGAGATGGGGTTCCAAGCTCCCAGGTGGCCTCTAGATGAGTGCTCTGTGGATCCTCCGGCAAGCTCTTGATGCTCCTCAGTGTGGGGGACCCTGTCTGCTCAGGGAGAAGGTGGCTGGATGGGGACAGCCACTGTCCATCAACTCTTTACTTGGGGGCACCAAGTAAAGATCCCTTGCTGGTGGGGGTAAGCCCAAGGAGAGCCCTGCCCACTGTGGGATGTAATGAAGAGTACTCATAGCAGCTGAAGGTCTTGGAGGAGAAGGGGCCCTCCGAGTCACCAGTTCCCATTTCTTCTCAGCAGGGTGATTGTCCCGGGATGCTCAGGGGACCCTAAAATGAGTTTGGACCTGAACCTTCCCGGATGAGGAGTCTCCAACAGCCCTGGCTTGATGCCACTGAGTCTGGGAGACATCCTTCCTTCTCCTGTGTGTGACTACCTGAACCTTCAGGGCACCCACATGGCAGTCTGGTATCCTGGGGGTGCAGTGACTGAGCCCCTGGATCAATGCCACCGGGCTTCTGCCCATAGGTGGCACACTGTGGGGACGCACCTGGTTCGGGTGTAGGGGTAGGCATTCCAGGACTCCTCCACCACTCGCAGGGCTGCCTTGGGCAGGATGGAGCGGAACCAGCCAGGGATGTGCATGCCCACGTGGTACACTTTGTGTGTGTACTGCCCGGAGCCACCCGGCCCATCCGTGTAGGGCCGGTTTTCCAGGATCTCCACACCGCTGCCCTCACCGTAGGTCTCGTTGCGGCTCTTCTTCTGTGGGGACAAAAGCACCAGAGACGCGTGTGTGGGCAGTGCACCACGCAAGGGGGCGCTCAGGAGACAGAGTCCAGTTGTGGAACGAGGAGAGGGACTTTTAGGCTCTGGTGCCTTTTCACAGTTCCCCAAATCTAGATCCAAGCTCCAGGTGCCTCGGTTCCTTCCTGAGCACTCTCCTGCCCGCTGAGCCATCTATCTGACTCCTTCCTGTCCCAGGACGGGAAGTTTCCCGAGGTCAGGAACAAGCAAGGATGCGGTAGAGTACTGAACAGGCTGGCAAGAAAAAGAAGAGGCATCCACGTTGGAAAGAAGTAAAACGACCTCAGTGTGCTGACGGCAAAACCTTCATACAGAAAGCCCTAAATGATGTCCAAACCTGTTAGACCTAACAAAGGAATTCAGCAGAACTGCAGGATGCAAAATGGGCATACAAAAAGGAACACAAAAAAGGAATTTTTAAGGCTAACCTGAACTGCACAGTGAACCCTGTCTTAGAAGGACAAAAAAAAAAAAAAAGACATTTTAAAAAACCAATTGCACTGGGGATTTAGCTCAGTGGCATAAATGCCTGCCCAGCAAGCATGAGATCATGAGTTTGATTCTCAGTACCAAAACAACAACAACCAACTGCTTTTATAACAGGAGCTGAAAGAATAAATACTTAGAAATAAATTTAGCGGGGCTGGGGGTTTAGCTCAGCAGCATAAGCACCTGCCTTGCAAGCAGGCGGTTGTGAGTTCGATCCCCGGTACCGATAAAAATGAAAAAGACAAAAAAAAAAAAAAAAAAAAAAAAAGAAATAAATTTAGCTAAATAAAAAACTTGTGCACTAATAAGATTAAGAGTCTAGACATAAGCCATATATCACCATCATTTATCATCATTATTATTATCACTATGCCTTAATGAGACCCTGGCTCAAAAATAAAAACAAAGAGCTGGGCGCCCAGTGTGGTGGTGCATGCCTATATCCCAGTCCTTGGGAGGCTGAGGCAGGAGAATCACCATGAGTTCAAGGCCAGCCTGAATTACATAGCAAGATGCTGTCTCAAAACCAACGAAACAAATAAAATGAAAAAAATAAAAGGATGGGATGTAACTCAATACGAAGGTCCTGGATTCAGTCCCCACTACTACAGCAAAAAAAAAAGAGAAGTTCAACATCACTACCAATCCCTCGGAAAATGCAAACCCAAACCACAGGGACTGCACTCATGTTCAGGGCGCCTGCACACATACATGAGCACATGCAATCTCATGCCAGCTCCCAGGCCCACATTTGAGGCCTGTGAAATCTGGGTCCATGCCACTTGGGGTTAGGTGTGCGGGCTACAGGCCAGGAAGCTCTCCTTTCAGGACTGTGTTCATCCAGGAGCCTGCTGGGGCTGGCAGGCATCCATCTCTAGGCCTGCTGCTGTGTGCGTAGCTTGTCACTTGCCGGGAGCTTGCCGAAGCAGGTGTGATGAAGAGCCAGCTTTCTGTGTATGTAACACTGAACATGACGGGAGAGTGAGGATGAAACGGTCAGAGGTCTCCAGGCTCCTCCTGGGCAGAAGGCCAGGCTGCTGCAGACCCCACTCCATGCCACACTCCAGTGGGAAGCTCTGCCTCGCCCCTTAGAAGCCAGCTCCCACCTGCTAGCAGGGCCTCTCTCCCTTGGGAGTCACTGGGCTCCAGTTCTGTCCCAGCCTTGGGTGGGCAGAGTGTCCTTGGGGTTCCGAGCCCAGAAGTCTCTGAGTTTGCTTCCTTCATGCAGGCAGTGAGGAGTTGGTCTGGACAGTCCTGCATTCCTGACGCTCAGGAAATGCTGGGACAGTGCAGGAACCAGGCCACCTGCTCCTCTGCCTGGCCTGGCTTTCCCCCACAGATCAGCCCCTGAGCCTGAGGGCAGAGGCGGGGAGCCAGGTGCACAGGTGCTGCAACACACAGGCAGCAACCACAGCCAGCAGGTGTTACTGGGAGCCAAAGAAGGCAGGGAAGGGGGTTTCTTGGAAGAGGTGGCCCAGTTGGTTGGCCTCAGAGGGGGCTTTCTGACTCTGGCACAAACCATAGCTCACCCTTGACCCGCCTTGCTCTTCCCCTCCAATGTGAGGACACGCACAGAGTGCGGGAGACAGCTCCTTCGAGGTGACAGCCAAGTCTCCCAACCATGGGGAGTGTGCAGGCAGAGGGGAAGCCCTGAGTGACACCGAGCCACTCTTCTGATGCACATTCCTGCTGGCCATTCAGTCTCCAGAGGAGCTCGAGGCCTCCCCTGACCACTCGCCTAACATCGGATTTACTCCACCGCTGAAGGAGGCTGGGGTGGGTGCTGGCTGTTCTCCCTAGGAGCAGGACGTGGGGGAGGGTGGGAATTCATGCCCTGCGCTTGTCATGAATCTCCAGACTGAGGGCTGTAACCCTGTTGGGCTCAGGCACAGAAGCTGCCACTCAGGTTGTGTGTTACACATATGTGCACACATGTGGCACATGTGTGTGAGCATGCAGGATCCTGGGTTCTCCTGAGCAGAGGAGAAGAAGACTGTACTCAGGATTGTATGTAGAGAAAGGGACTCCAGGAGCACTTGTAATAAATACGCCACTGAGGTGACCTCTTCATGGTGTACAATGGGGAAACTGAGGGCCAGGGACAGACACTGGTGCAAGACCACACAAAGGAAGGGCCAGGGCAGCCAGGGAGGCGGTGGGGATTCTACACTGACCCCCAGCAGCACAGAGCCCCACACACTCCCCAGAGGATATGGCTTTCTCACTGGCTGCCTCTGACGGCTCACTGAGGCTATGTTCTCCTGTAAGAGCTAAAACTATAAAACTCTTAGAAAAAAAGGCATAAACCTTTAAGATCTTGGATTAGACAATGGTTTTGGAACCATGACATCAAAAGCACAAGCAAAAAAATAAAAACATTAAACAAAAAACATAACCTCATTAAAATTAACAACTTTTCTATTTCAAAGGATATTTAAAAAGTAGAAAAAGACAACCTACAAAACAGAAGATTTCATCAGTAATCCATCTGGTGTTAGGAACTTACGCATGAAATACATAGTGTTCTCCTGCAACTCAACAACGAATAACCAATAAACACTGAAAAGATGCTCACCACCACTGTCCTTAGGGAAACGCAAGCCCACCACCAGGAGCTCTAGGTCTCCAGAGCACGGCAAGCACTGGCAGAAAAGGCTGGAGCCCACACAACTGCTGGTGGAATGTGCATGGCAGGGAGCTATGGGAAGTCTGGCTTCCCAGAAAGTTAAACATCCTGGCATGGTGGCACAGAACTGTAATGCCAGCTCTTTGGAGGCCTGATTCACCTAGTCTTAAAATAAAAAAATGGAAAGGGCTGAGGGTGTGGCTCAGCACTCCCTGGGTTCAACTCTTAGGATAATCAAGCAATCAATCAAATGGTATGACACAGCAAGTCCACTCCTAGGTATGCACTTCCTAAAACACATCTGTATCAAAATTTAGGGAAAACTGTCTCCTCACAGTGGCCAAAAGGTAAAAGCAACACAAACGTCCACACATAGATGAATGGATTAGCAAATGGGTAGTGGAACCACAGAAAAGAGCAATCAAGTGCTGACACCTGCTGCGATGTAGGCGTTGGCGGACAGAAATGGGACACCGAAGGCCATGCGTCCTGTGAGTCCACTATGAAATGCGTGGAGTAGACAAACTCAGGACTGAAAGCAAGGAGGTGACTGTCGAGGCTCGGATGGAGAGTGGCTCCTTCTGGGGACTGTTGTAAAGTCGGGCACTGCCCGGCGGATATTCTAACAACTGTGGCCCGGACACTTTAACTGGTGAGGACATGGCACGTGACTTACGGTGCAAGACAGCTGCATAAAACAAGGAAAACAAAAAAATCCTCCTCCTCTTCTCACTAAGGTTTAAGAAAGATCAAATGTGGGCCGTGTGAAAGGCTTGGGGACTGTGAGGCGGAGATGACACAGGTCACCTCCAATTCTCTGCCACCAAGGTTCCTTCCGGTGTCTGAAAGGTTAGCTCTCTGCTGGGGCAGAAAACCACATGTTACCACCCCGGTGACTTCAGGCCCAGCTTCTGTTTCTTTTTTATGTATGTATGTATTTATTTTTCTAGCTTCTGTTTCTATGCTTTCCTCGGAGCCACGATGATATCACCAGGGCCATCTCCGGCCAACTTCCTGAACGGCACTTATGCGCCATGTGGGTGCACACAGGCATTACCCAGTCGGAACGGTACACGCCAAACGGTGCATAGATGCTTGCACACATGGGTATTCCCAATGCACTGCCTCATTACGGGCACATGGCTCTTTTTAGGGCACAAAGATGTGGGGTCTCCACGGCCCAGGGTGAGAGTCTCCACAAAAAGGAAGATCCTGGTGAGGCCACAGAGGGGTTAAAAGATGTGCCCCTTCCCTTCCAAACAGCTGTGCTGAGGACCAGATCAGACACTGTACTCCGGCTTCTCTCAGCAGCTTCCTATCTGTGGTGGCCCCGTGCTCCGCACCCCTGCCTTATCTTCAAGTCCCTGCCCCATCTCCTCAAACTGGGGCAGCACCTCCGCACCCTGCTGAGTGAGGTGGGAGCAGGAGACAGATGGAGACCGAACCGCTGCACAGTTCTGAATGGCAGAGCTGGCCTTGCGACTGTGGCCATGGGCTCCACTCAGCCCAGAGCACTGGCCACCTCAGGGAAAACTCCCAGCATGCATGCGGCAGGAGTTTGGTAAATCCCGAGGAAGAGACACATCATTAACTACAGTCAGGTCAGCTTCCTCTCAGCCTGCACAAGTCACCTCTCTCTCATCCCAGTGTCTAAAGCTACAGGGGACATGGGATTACCCATCTGCCCCAACCTGGTTTAGAGGAAGAATGTTCCCCTCTCCTTAAATTTATGTCCACTAGAACCTCGGAGCGCGATGTTGCTTGGAAACAGGGTCTTTGAGGCCTGAGTGGCTTGATGCTGTTATAACCAAGACATGGCTGGAGCCACCCAAAGGTGGAGGTG